CCTCCCCGATGGATCCGTCCTCGTTTGAGTTCGGTTCTTCTTCCCGTTTTTGGGTACGTTTGGAGGTTCCGGGGTCTTCCTGGCTGGCAGACTGCCCTTTCTTTTCGTTGGGGGCGTGGCATGGGTTCTGTCGGACCCGCACGCTTGATTGGCGCGAGACTGCTACTTTTATGCAGGTTTACCTGGGGGGCGAGTTTGAGCACCTTAATGCGTGCTTATTCGCTCCTGTGCTTTCTCGGGATGTTGGCCTTTTCCAGCTTCACGTGCAGGTTCCTCAGCTTTCGGCTTCCTTGGTTGCGGAGGAGTTGCGCTCCCGTGGGCATTTGGCTTCGGTCTTGCGTTTCTTTTCCCTTCTCGAGCTCTCTTCTGCTTGGCTCGAGGAGGATGTGGGAGCGTTGGCTGAAGGGCCTTCGTCCGGGGCGCTTTCTTCGGCAGCTAGGGCGTCGGCTGCACTGTTGAAGCTCTTTGCGCCCATCCTGAAGGAAGCGGTGTCTCTGTTTTTTGCTTCTCGCCTCGCGTGCCGTCAGGCTGTGCTCGCCCTCTCTTTGGATTCCGCTTGGGCCCTGGCTCTTAGGTTTTCATCTCCTTTTTGTCCGTTGCTGTTTGCAGAGTCTGCGGTGTCCCAGTTTCTGCATGCGGCTTCGGCTAGTTGTCGTCCTATGGCGGACTTGTTGATTCTCCGGAGCAGTCGTTCTCGGCAGTTTCGGAGGGGTCGTGCCAGGGTTTCGGTTTCCGCTGGTCGAGGTGGGCCTTTGGTGCCGGTTTCTGAGCCGTTGTTCCCTTTGGGGCCAGCGTCGTCTGGGCGGCGCAGTGTTCGCCCTGTTCGACGGTTGGGTTCTCGTGCGGGGCGTCGGCCCTTTCGCAGTTTGCCCCGTTGACGGGGCGATGGGGGGGAGGCTCGCTCTGTTTGCCCACGCTTGGTCCCACGATTTGTGGGCCTTTTCGGTCGTGTCATCCGGCCTGCGGTGGCGTTGGGCTCCTCGTCCTCCTTTGGGGGGTTCGGGGCTGACAGGGCAGGTCTCTTCTCCGGCGCTTCGTCAAGTCATCTTGGAGTGGGTGCGCTTGGGCGTGGTCGAACCGACTACGTCCCTCAGGTGGGTTTCCCGCCTGTTTCCAGTGCCGAAACGGGACTGTGCGGATCTGAGGTTCATTCTGGACTTGTCCCGTCTGAACCCCTGGATTCCTTGCCCCTCCTTTCGGATGACTACTCTGTCTCAGGTCCGGCTTCTGTTGGAGCCGGGTGCCTGGATGGTGTCCCTGGACCTAAAGGACGCGTATTGGCACGTTCCTATTCATCCGGGGTTCAGGGACTGGTTAGGCTTCGTGGTAGGGCGTCACGCTTACCGTTTTCGTTGCCTACCTTTTGGCCTGAATCTGGCACCTCGCGTTTTCACGCGTCTGACCCGAGTTGTGGTGACCCGTCTGCGTCTTCTAGGGATTCGGGTTTTGGCCTACCTCGACGACTGGCTGGTGTGGGCTCCCAGTCGGTCAGCTTGTCTGCTCGCCAGGGATTTGGTTCTTTCCCGGCTCGCCAGGTTCGGGTTCCTGGTGAACTGGAGGAAGTCCCATCTGGTTCCGTCCCAGGTTCGGACCTGGCTGGGTCTTGTTTGGGATTCTCGGACCGCTTCCTTGTCTCTACCTCCGGTGGCGTTGCGGCGGCTGCGGGACCGCCGTTTGCGGTTTCTGCGAGGGTCCCGGGTCACTCGGCGGTTGCTCGAGCGGTTGTGCGGGAGTCTGAACTTCGCCATGCTAGTCTACCCGCCGGGTCGGGTTTGGCTTCGGCGTCTGTTTTGGTTCCTTCGGGGACGTCCTTTCCGCCTCTCTCGCGATCGTTGGGTTCGCCCTCCGGGGGTCTTATGTCGGTTGCTGCGTCACCGTCTTCCTCTTCGGATTTTTCGGGGTTCGGTGCCTTGGCGCCTTCCCGAGCCCTCGCTCGATGTGTTCACGGACGCGTCGTCTCTCGGCTGGGGCTTTGTGACCAGTGCTCACCAGGCAGGCCAGGGGCGGTGGGGTCCGTCCTTCCATCGGGCTCACAGCACGGTTCGGGAGTTCGCGGCTGTCTGGTTCGCGCTTCGGAGGGTTCGGGTCGCTCGGGGATCGACCATTCGCCTCCATTCGGACTGTTCTCCGGTGGTTCATTGCCTGAACCGCGGGGGTTCTCTTCGGTCCTTGGCTCTTTGGGGTTGGTCCCTTCGAGTGGTTCGTCTGCTGGATTCTCGGGGTTTGGCTCTCCGTGCGGTTCACGTCCGGGGAGTGTCCAACGTTCTGGCGGACGGTCTGTCTCGCTTCCTTCCCCTGTCCACGGAATGGACGGTCGACGACGACTCGTTTCGTTGGATCTGCCAGACGTACGGTCTCCCAGATGTGGACCTCTTCGCGTCGGCGTGGTCCCGGCGTCTCCCTCTATATGTGACGCCCTTCCCCGACTGCGAGGCGTTCGCGGTGGATGCTTTTCGGCAGGACTGGTCGAGGTGGGGTTACCTGTACCTTTTTCCTCCGGTCCAGCTGTTGCTTCGGGTTCTGGTTCGGTTAGAGACATTCCCGGGGAGAGTAGTCCTCGTGGCCCCTTGGTGGCCGGCCCAGCCTTGGTTTCCGGTGCTTCTGGCTCGGTGCCCGAACCCGGGACGTTTCCCGCGGCTCCGCCTCTTTCAGCAGGTCGGCCCGATCCGGTACGGGGCTGGTTCGACCTTCTCCTCTGCTCTTCGCGTCTGGTCTTTTTGACGCGGGTGTATCACCATTTCTATGGTGATCAGGTGGCTTCTTTGATGGTGTCCCACCTGAGAGCTTCGTCTAGGCGACAGTATGAAGTTTCCTGGCGTTCCTTTCGCCATTTTCTGGCTCTTCGTAGGTTGTCTTTTCTCTCGGATCGGGTTGTTTTGTCCTTCCTTACTTGGCTTTTTCAGGACCGTCATTTGATGCCTAATACTGTCGCCTCGTATCGTGCGGCGCTGGCGGAGCCGCTCCAGCTCGCTTTCGGGGTGGACGTCACATCCGCCCCGTTTCGTAAGCTTTCCCGTGCTATGTTTCACCTCCGGCCTGCTCATGCGCCGCCTGAGCCGTCCTGGTCCTTGGACAGGGTGCTCTCCTATCTTTCCTCTCCTCGGTTTGTGGTGGCCCCTTCGGTTCCTGATTGTTTTTCCAAGGCTTTGTTTTTGTTGGCATTGGCCTCTGGGGGCCGGGTAGGGGAGCTTCATGCTCTCCTCCGGCGCAGGGGTTACTGCTCTTTTGGTCCTGGGGGTAGGTTTGTCCGTTTGCAGCCTTCTCCGTCCTTTCTGGCAAAGAACGAGACGGCTGCTTTCCGGAGGGGTCCGTGGGTCATTGATGCTTGGTTGGTTCGGCCGGGGGTGCATCATGTGTTGTGTCCTGTTGCTGCACTTCGCCGTTACCTGCGCGCTTCGGCCGGAGTGGCTGGGGATGCGCTTTGGGTTGATCCGGTTTCCCTCGTTCCCTGTTCCAGGGCTCGGGTCTCCCAGGTTGTCCGCAGGGTTATTAAATCTAGCCAGCCTGCGGTCTATCCTCGCGCCCATGACGTTAGGAAGTTTGCGGCTTTGGCTGCCGTGTTTGGTAATATGTCTTGGGCTCATATTCGGGCGCGTGGATTTTGGAAGTCGAACAGGGTCCTGGCCGCCCGTTATTTGGTGAATGTCCCTGCTCCTCGTCGTTCTTGTGTTGCTTTGGGTCGCAGGTTGCAGCCAGTTGTCTCGACTTCGAGTTGAGGAGTTTGTGGCCACCGCCTCCCGGGTAAGTCCCATTTTCCTTCTCTTTGGGTATGTAGCTCCAGGGAGCCGTAGGGGCTCCCCCCAGAAAACCAGCGTTGAATGTAATGAAACGCCATTTTCTGGGTGAGCCCCGGAGGCTCCCTGGTTACCCTCCCTCCCATCCGGTCGGCGGGATTTTTCGCGTTGGTTGAAGCCTAGTTTCCGAACTGACGGCAGCCGGCGCGGTGAGGTCCGGGGCCCCCCCCCTCCCCCTCCCGGGGAGGGGAGGGCTGCGCGGACGACCGGCGCGGCAGTAAATTGATTGTTTGATTGTTTTCCTTGGGATTGTAGGGAGTTTTCTACCTCTCTGTTCGGTTTTTGTTGTAGTTTTTTACCATGTGGGGTTTGTTTTGTTACGCCTACCTTTCTGGGTGCCTAACCCCGGTCGATGGCAGATAAGGAAAACCCCCAACTATATGGGGTTTTCCAGGGCCATTGCTCCCTGAAACCTCTCTGAAGGGGCCAGGTTCTGGCGCTGGTCCCTGGTAGGTCTGAACTCCATAGCTAATGTCCCGGTCTAACATAACACACATTAGCCCGATAAGCTCCAGGGAGCCTCCGGGGCTCACCCAGAAAATGGCGTTTCATTACATTCAACGCTGGTTTTTTAAAGATTTGACGTTAGGCAAGAAAGTAGACGAGATGCATGCCAGATTTTGAGACACATGACAAAGGTACACAAAAATTTATACAGTACCGAAAAAAGATGTAGACCGAAAAACCTGTGTTGAATGTAATGAAATGCCACTTTCTGACAGAGCTTTGGTGGCTCCCTGAAGCTAGCTCGCTGAGGTAGCTCCACACACGAGTCAGATCAGTTGTACAGTACAAGTCCTGTAAGGCCGTCCAAGGTCCAGAGACAGAACCTGGCCCCCTCTTCACAGAAGCACAGGGAGCACGAGCGTTACAATCGCTCTCAACAAAAGAAACATCAAGAAAGTAGGTGGAACAATAGAGACAACTGCAAAGTTCACAAAGAAATGAACTGAAAAAGCAAAGATGATTCATTCAAGTGGCAGCACCACAGTAAGCTCTCGGCTTCCATGGCGTCAAACCCTCAGTTTGCAGCTGAGAGACTATGTACACACATACCTGGAAGGAAAGGGAAGGAAAGGAAAGGGAAGGAGAAAGGGAAGGACAAAGGAAAAGAGAAAGGAAAAGAGAAAGAGGCATTTTATTACATTCAACACTGGTTTTCTGGAGGGTCAAATGGTGGCTCCCAGAAGCTAACTAACAACAGAGAACAAGAAAAACATGGAACCTTACAAGTAGGAGGAGAGCAAAATGACACCCACAAAGGCGAGACCCGGGACACATGAGCCTTGAAAGAAGGAACCAAGGAAACCGGGACAACAAACAATGCACCCACCAAAGCAGTGTGCGTGGCGCACAAGCAGTGGCCAACTGTCACAACTGGACAGAACAAATGAAGCGAGCCTGGCCAGTAGTGCCACACAATGGGCATTTACCCAAGGGTACCATGATAATAGAAGCCATGCTGCCATATTGGTCATGAGAAATCTTTTGAAAAAGTCGATAAATACTTGACCTCTCTCACTTGAAAGACCTGGGATTCAAATACCTTTTCAAATTATATTTCTTATACTGTAAAACCAGCGTTGAATGTAATGAAACGCCATTTTCTGGGTGAGCCCCGGAGGCTTCCTGGAGCTTATCAGACTAATGTATGTTATATTAGACCGGGACATTAACTATGGAGTTCAGACCTACCAGGGACCAGCGCCAGAACCTGGCCCCTTCAGAGAGGTTTCAGGGAGCAATGGCCTTTGAAAACCCCCTTTGTGGTTGGGAGTTTTCCTTATCTGCCATCGACCGGGGTTAGGCATCCAGAAAGGTAGGCATAACAAAACAAACCACCACATGGTAAGAAACTAAGACAAAAAAACCGAACAGAGATAGACACTCCCTACAATCCCAAGGAAACAAGCAAACATCACACTTTACTGCCGTGCTGATTGTCCACGCAGCCCTCCCCACCCCAAGAGGGGGAGGGGGCTCCAGTTCGGGAGCTAAGCTTCAACCAACACAAAAAAAATGCCGACCGGTGGGAGGGAGGGTTGCCAGGGAGCCTCCAGGGCTCACCCAGAAAATGGCGTTTCATTACATTCAACACTGGTTTTCTTTGGGGAGCCCCTACGACTCCCTGGAGCTTCATACCCAAAGAGAAGGAAAAGAGAGGGCTGACCTGGAAGGCGGCCGCCACAAACTCCACAATGGAAGTCGAGACAACAGGCAGCAACCTACAACCCAAAGCAACACAAGAACGCACAGGAGCAGATACACTCACAAATGAACAGGGGGCCAGGAACCTGTGCGACCCCCAAATCCTCGCGCCCGAAATGAGCCCAAGACGTCACCAAACACAGCAGCGTAAGCTGCAAACATCCGAATGGCATAGGTGCAAGGATAGACCACAGGCTGGTAGACTTAAGAAAACTGCGGACGACCTGGGAGACCCGAGCTCTGAAAAAGGGAACGGGGGGAACAGGATCAACCCAAAGTACATCCCCAGCCCCGGCACGCAGGTAACGGCGAAGAGCCGCAATCAGACAACACATGTCTCACCCCCGGCCAAATCAAACAAGCATCAATAACCCAAGGATCCCTCTGGAAAGCAGCCGTCTCTACCATTGCCAGAAGGACAGAGAAAGGCTGCAAGCGTATAAACTTACCATCAATACCAAAAGAGCAGAAACCTCTGTGCCGGAGGAGAGCCGGAAGCTCCCCAACCCGATCCACAGAGGCCAATGCCAACAAAGTATGGCCTTTGAAAAACAATCTTGAACCGAAAGAGCTACCATAAATTGAGGAGAAGGATAAAAGGGCACCTTGATCAAGGACCAGGACAGCTCAGGCGGTGCATGAGCAGGCCGGAGGTGAAATAACACGAGAAGTGTACGGAACGGGGCGGATGTGACGTCCACCCCAAACGCAAGCCGGAGCGGCTCTGCCAGCGCCGCACGATACAAAGCAACAGTAAGAAGCATCAATTAACTGTCCTGAAGAAACCAAGAAAGGACAAGACAACCCGATGGGAAAGAGAAAACAACCTACGAAGAGAAAGAAAATGGCGAATAGAAACGCCAGGAACGTCATACTGTCGCCGAGACGAAACTCGTAGGTGGGACACCATCAACTAAGCCACCTGATCACCATCAAGATGGTGATACACCCATGTCAGCAGAGCAGACGCGAAGAGCCAAGGAGAAGACCGAACCAGTCACGTACAAGACCGGTCTGACCTGCCGAAAGAAGCGGAGCTGTGGAAACGCCCCGGGATCGGACACCTATCAAGCAGCGACTGAAAACAAAGCTGGGCCGGCCACCAAGAGACCACGAGGACTACTTACTCTCCTTGGGAAGGACTCCAACCAAGTCAGAACTCGAAGCAACAGCTGGACCGGGAGAAGAGGAACAGGTAGCTCCACCTCGACCAGTCCTGCCGAGCGCTTCCACCATGAACACTTCGCAGGCGGGTAAGGGCACCATACAGAATGGGAGACGCAGAGATCACACTGACGCGAAGATGTCCATGTCCAGGAGTCCATACGTCCAGCAGAGCCAACGAAACGAGTTGGCAACGACCGGCCGAACCGTGAACAGAGGAATGAACCGAGACAGGCTGTCCACCAGGACGTAGGACACCTCGGACATGAAACGCACAGCTAGCCAAACCCTGAGGATCCAGCAGATAAGCCACTTGAAGGGATCAGCCCCAAAGGTCAAGGACCTAAGAGAATCCCCGTGGTTCCGGCAATGAACCACCGAAAAATAGTTCGAATGTAGCCGGATGGGAGATCCCCGAGTGACCCAAACCCTCTGAAGTGCAAACCAGACAGCCATGAAATCCTGAACTGTGCTGTGAGCCCAACGGACGGATATACCCCACCATCCCCGGCCGGCCTGGTGAGTACTGGCCACAAAGCCCCGAGAGATGACCCAAACGTGAACACATCGAGTGAAGGCTCGGTGAGGCGCCAAGGCACGAAACCTCGAAAACCTCAGAGAGAAAGCCAGTGACGCAGCACCAACACAAGATCCCCGGAGGATGAACCCAACGATTACGAGAGAGGCGGAAGGGGAGTCTCCGAAGGAACCGGACAGATGCCAAAACCAAACCCGACCTGACGGGCAGACCAGCACGGTGAAGTTCAGACTCCCGCACAACCGCTCGGGCAACCGCCAAGTGACCCGAGACCTCCTCATAAACAACCGAAAGCAGGACCACAGCCACGCTTCTGGTGGGAAAGACAAAGAAGTGGTCCAAGAGTCCTAAACAAGACCCAGCCAGGTCCGAACCCGGGACGGAACCAGATGGAGTGGCCTCCAGGTCACCAGGAATCTGAACCTGGCAATCTGGAAAGAACCGCACCCCCTGGTGAGCAGACAAGCGGACCAATTGGGAGCCCCACACCAGCCAGTCGTCGAGGTAGGCCAGAAACCGAATCCCGAGCAGATGCAGACAGGTCACCAAAATCCGGTAAATATGCATAAATACACTAAGTGCCAATTACAAACTAGGGAAGGCAACAAAAGCGGCAAGTCTGAAGCCCCACCATCAATTGTGCCAGTCCCAGAACTCTGGAGAGGAACGTGCCAAGAAGTGACTCAGAGGTCCAAGGACACCATCCAGTCACCCGGCCCCAACAGTCTTCCGAAGAGGGCAAAGAATCCAGGGAACAGACTGCATAAGTCCAGAAGAACTGCAAGGCCCATGTCTGCACTAGAACAGGTGGGAACCTCAGAAGGATGGGGCGGAACGACCAAGTCCAAATGCACCCACGCCAAGATGACATGACGAAGTGCAGGGCAAGAAGCCCACCCCGCCAGCCCCGAACCCCCCAAAGGGGGTAGAAGTCGCCCAATGCCACCAGAGGCCGGAAGACAACCACAAGCGAGAGCCAACAGAGCAAGCTGCTCCCCCATTGCCCCATCAACAGCGAAGGGAACAGAACCCCTTCCAAAAGAAAATGTATATATATATATAAATACACACATACATATATATATATATATATATATATATATATATAAATATATATATATATATATATATATATATATATATATATATATATATATATATATATATATATATATATATATATATATATATATATATATATATATATATATATATATATATATATATATATATATATATATATATATATATATATATATATATATATATATATATATATATATATATATATATATATATATATATATATACATATATATATATATATATACATATATATATACATACACAAAATGTATAAAAACATACATACATGCATGTAAATAAAATTGAAAAAATAAAATAAAGAAAAGAAAAGACAAACCACTGACCGGTGGGCAGAGAGCACCACACCGGCCAGATGAAGAAGGCACTAAGAGCACAAAAACAGCACCAAAAGGCCCACCTCGACAAAAACCCAAGGCCCGTGCACAACCACAACACGTGCCAAGACCCAAAAAGATCAGCCTGCATGCCACAGCAAGACTCCGGAACCCCAGAAGGCAGAACCGGGTCACAAACGAGGTAACAAAAGCCCCCTGAACCAACAAAGGGGGCCCAAGAGGAAGACACCTCCGGAACGAAACAAAAGAACCCAAAGGAACCCGGAATCGAACCTGGGGGAGCCCAAACTACCACATTTGCTGGTGGAATTACACCACAGCAGGGCAATGCACAGCACCAAGACAGAACCCCAGGGAAACAGCCAAAACAGACCGAAAACCTGGGGACAAGGTGTGGGAGCATGCCTAAACAGATAGGAACACTGAGCCCAAACCCTAGGGCACAGACCCAAAACAGACAGAAAACGCAAAAACCGGTGTAAAAGCCAACACCCAAGCGTTCCCAGAGGAACAGAAGACGGACATAAAACCCCAGAAAAGCAAAGAAATGGCAACTGGAGGCTAAAACCCCTGAAAGAAATGAAAAACTCACCTAAAATGCGAGCTCCCACACCCCGGCCTAGGTAAACAAACCAAAGTACCTCCATGGTGGCCAAGCAGGGAGTTATCAACAGAAAAGAAAATGGCCACCACACCAAGGAGCCGTGACCGACACGATAGAGCCGAAAACATGCCAGCAAATGTGGGAAGCAAGGAGACTAGAGGGACGAAAAACCCCGCCCAGAAGAAACGCAACAGAGGCCCCGGGGCAGAACTGTCCTCCACACCCTCTGCTCTTAAAGAAAAGGAAGAGTCCAGGAAGAAAGACAGCATAGAAAGGGCCGCTGGTAAGACCCAGAAGCCTTGGCAGGAGGAACAGGCTTGAAAACCTCCGTCCCCAACCCGACTGTGGCAGCCCCCGAAGCCGCCCGAATCTCGGCACCAACTACACCCCGCCCTGACCCCGAAACCCGCAGACAGTCAGGAGCTGGGAACAGGGAGGGAAAGGGATGAACAGCACCTAACCAAAACGGGGTGGCTCCGGGGCATCCGGGTGGAAAACCAACCTAGCATGTTGCAGCAACCTAAACCTAGCTTGCAACATGGATGCTGCCTGTACTCTGAATAGTAAGGACATCAGAAGAGTACTGGAGAACGAGCAGAGAACACCTCTTGTAAGACTCCGGGTCAAGGTGTCAGTGACCCAAGAAGCAGCATGTGGAGGTAAAAGTAGCGACCGTCACCCTGAGACAAGGGCATAGCAACCAACGAACCCTCACAAGACGGGATGGAACCCGAAAGACACATCTAATGGTCCACCGAGCCCTGACAGGGTTTTCCAGGGCCCATAGACTGACTGCTACAGAAAGCCCGAGCAAGGAGTTGCTAACCGGTTAACACCCAAGCTAACAAGGGGTAGATATAACACTGAAAACCCCTGCGATGTGTACAATCATGCGACCTAGCAGAAGGCCACCAAACACTACCAGTGGAACTATAGCCAAACTAGGCAGACCCCCACCATGCAAAGAAAATAAAAACAAACGAAAACCCTGCAAACGTACACCATCCCCAGAGGCAACAGGAGCCGGTCTCTGCGTAGGTGGCAGGCCGTGCAACACCTTGATGCCCTAACCAGCACAACACCAGTCACTACCCAAGGCCAAACAAGGGCCCCAAGCCCCAGCTGGCCCCAAGGGCGAGACAAATGCCGAGCAGCAAGAACCTCTAAAGGAATGGTTCTCGAACGCCCAAGGGAAGATAACCTAGTCACGCAGGGGCAGTGCTCACAGGGGGCTTAGGGAAGGAAGCCCCTAAGTGCATGCAGCCCCGGTACTGATGAGGAACACCTGGCCACCGCACAACACAACACACAGCAGTGAACGCCACGAAGACAAACACCACCTAGGAAACTGAGGCCAGAGAAGCGTCTGTCCCGGTTGACATTAGCTTACTAACTGGTGCTAGGCAGCCGGCGCGGTGAGGTCTGGGGCCCCCCGTCCCCTTCTCGGGGCGGGGAGGACTGCGCGGACAAACGGTGCTGCAGTAAAGTGTGATGTTTGTTTGTTTGCTTGTTTCCTTGGGATTGTAGGGAGTTTCTACCTCTCTGTTCGTTTTTTTGTTTTAGTTTCTTACCATGTGGGGTTTGTTTTGTTATGCCTACCTTTCTGGGTGCCTAACTCCAGTTAATGGCAGATAAGAAAAAACCCCAACCACAAAGGGCTTTTCTAGGGCCATTGCTCCCTGAAGCCTCTCTGCTCCCTGAAGCCTCTCTGAAGGGGCCAGGTTCTGGCGCTGGTCCCTGGTAGGTCTGAACTTCATACCTAATGTTCTGGTCTAATACAACATACATTAGCCCAATAAGCTCCAAGGAGCCGTAGGGGTTCCCTACAGAAGAACTATTGACATGTTACATGTTAATTTGCACCTAGTACAGTATTCATATATTATTACTCTAATATTTATTATCAAAACCACAATTACATTTCTGTTTAGTTTATATAATATGTATCTATCAATCTATAGTTGTAACTTATATTCCACTGTATAAATTATCATATAGTATTACCTCATTAAGCTTCATTATATCATTTAACTCCAATATTATTTCTCTCATCCCATCTCTGTTGGTATACACAATTTTATGGACTGTGTTCTCTCCTCCTTTGCCCTTCACTTCCCCCCTTCCTCTAATGGTTTTGTTATGAGGGTATTTGTGTACCAAACTCTACCTTGATGTTCTCATGGCTCTCTTGCTCACTATCTTTGTTAATACTTTGTGATACAGAATATATAATGTAGTAACCTCAAGGTAACCTCAAGGTAAGGTAGTACTTCTGAAGCACTGTCACTCAGAAATTTGAATCAAGTCATTTTTCAGACATCACACTCCAACGTGATCGGGATCCAGGTTCTGAACCCCATCGTACCCGAGAGCACTGAGGAAATAGTGATATATGATTACCAGAAAATTATACAGAGTCAGGTAAGAAGCGTTCAGTAAATCTTGTCCACAGTGTAATTAAGTAAGCATATGTGCTACTCTAGCTGGTAAGGTAACACACAACAAAAAGGACGCACTTAACCTGTTGTTGGACAGAAGATAATTTGTTGTTAGTCTTTTAAAAAATGGAGGCAGCCTTTATTATTTATATATATACAGTGTGTATATATATATATATATATATATATATATATATATATATATATATATATATATATATATATATATATATATATATATATATATATATATATATATATATATATATATATATATTTATATTTATATATTTATATATTTATATATTTATATATTTATTAGTATATTTTGGTAGCAGTCTTTCTTGTAAACATATGTTGTTAAATATGACCGAAAAAGTAAGATTAATAATTCTAACACAAATTTTCTCAATATTTCTTATGTTTCTTTTTACTGTCGATGGTAATTGAAAAATCCTTTCTCCAAAACTCATTTTTATCTCTAGTCTGAACGTGTTTCATAATAATTTATTACATTTTCAAAGACTTTAGTTTACACACACACACAACTGTAGCCTGAAAACACTAAACAGAGTTTTACTTATGCTAAACACTTAAACAGCTTGTCATATATACTTGCATTTGGGTGAGGTGATATGTTGCAGCAGTTTTGGATGAGGTGAACAAACTTTTGACCAACACAAGACAGAACACGGAACATTGGGTATTAATTGGATAAATGAGAGGGAAGAATGGAAGTAAATACAAAGGGCCTATTGGCCTATACTTCCTCTTGATGCTTCTATATTGGTGCGGAGACTTGAAGTGGGTAGAATATAGTTGTGCATTAATTGACTGTTGTTTGCTGGTGTTGACTTCTTGATGTGTAGTGCCTCGCAGATGTCAAGCCGCCTGCTATCGCTGTATCTATCGATGATTTCTGTGTTTGTTAAGACTTCTCTGGTAATGGTCTGGTTGTGGGAAGAGATTGTATGTTCCTAGATGGAGCCCTGTTGCTTATGCATTGTTAATCGCCTGGAAAAAGATGTTGTCTTGCTTATATACCGAGTTCTTTGGGGCTTACAGTCCCTAAGAAACATAAGAAATATTGAGAAAATTCGTGTTAGAATTATTAATCTTACTTTTTCGGTCATATTTAACAACATATATATAATGTATATATATGCATATGCTTATATGCATAAAAGATTTGAAGCAATACGGCTTAATTAACCTATATTTGAACACTTTTAGGATATTTCTCGCTGGGATCTGCGAAGAGATCAGGTGGCCTTCCCAACAACTTCAAACAGCTATGCCATGACTATTGAGTATAGCTCTGGGTCCTATGCTCTGGGAAATGTTATTTTTGTCCTCACTGCTGTTGATAGTAAGTTAAACATTATGTTAAATTTTATTGCCTCTCTGAAAAGTATTCTTTGGAATTATTGTACTCCTGCTCTTCTAGGATTTTATTGTATTTCCGGTTTTTGTTTACCTTATTGAGATAAACATCTGGAATATATCAGAGACCATAAACAAATTTGAAATATTTAACACCTTTTGATTTTTTTTTTAAGTTCAGGTAAATATAAACCAGCATTGAATGTAATGAAACGCCATTTTCTGGGTGAGCCCCGGAGGCTCCCTAGAGCTTATCGGGCCATTAGCTAAGGAGTTCAGACCTACCAGGGACCAGCGCCAGAACCTGGTCCCTTCAGAGAGGTTTCAGGGAGCAATGGCCCTGGAAAACCCCCTTGTGGTTGGGGTGACTGCCATCGATCGGGGTTTGGCACCCAGAAAGGTAGGCATAACAAAACAAACCCCAGGTGGTAAAAAACTAAAACAAAAAACCGAATAGAGAGGTAGAAACTCCCTACAATCCTAAGGAAACAAGCAAACAAGCAAACATCACACTTTACTGCCACGCCGATTGTCCGCGCAGCCCTCCCCGCCCCAATAGGGGGAGGGGGGAGCCCCGGACCTACTGCACCGGCTGCCTAGCATTGGTTCGTAAGCTAATGTCAACCGGGATAGACACTTCTCTGGCCTCAGTTTCGTAGGCTGTGTTTGCCTTGTGTGGCGTTCACTGCCGTGTGTTGTGGTGTGCGGTGGCCAGGAGTACTTCATCAGTGCCGGGGCTGCATGTGCTTAGTGGCTGACTTCCCTAAGCGCCCTGTGAGTACTGCCCCTGCGTGACAGGGTTATCTTCCCTGGGGCGTTCGGGAACCATTCCCGTAGAGGTTCTTGCTGCTCGGCATTTGCCTCGCCCTTGGGGCCAGCTGGGGCTTGGGGCCCTTGTTTGGCCCTGGGTAGGGACTGGTATTGTGCTGGTTAGGGCGTCAAGGTGTTGCGCGACCTGCCACCTAAGCGGCGACAAGTTCCTGTTGCCTCTGGAGACAGTGTACTTTTGCGGGGTTTTTCTTTTGTTTTTATTTTCATTTGCCTGGTGGGGGTCTGCCTAGTGTGGCTATAGTTCCACTGGTAGTGTTTGGTGGCCCTCTGCTAGGCCCCCGTGATTATACACGTCGCAGGGGTTTTCTGTGTTGTTCGCTACCCCTTGTTAATTATGGGTGTTTAACCGGTTAGCAACACCTTGCCTAGGCTTCCCATAGTTGTTACCCCTACAGGCCCTGAAACCCTTGTTGGGGCTTGGTGGACCATTGAATGTGTCTTCCGGGTCCCAACCCGTCTTGTACAGGATCGTTGGTTGCTGGGCCCTTGTCTCCGGGTGACAGTCGCCACTTTTACTTCCGTCATGTTGCCTGTTGGGTCACTGACACACACCTTGACCCGGAGTCTTGCGAGAGAGATTCTCTGCTTGTTCTGCAGTAGTCTCCTGATGTTATTACTGTTCAGAGTACAGGCAGCATCCGTGTTGCTAGCTAGGTTAGGTTCCTACGCTAGGTTGGTTTCCCACTCGGATGCCCCAAGGCCGCCCTGTTTTGGTTAGGTGCTGTTTGCCCCTTTCCCTCCCTGTTCCCTGCTCCGGACCGTCTGTGGGTTTCGGGGTCAGGGTGGGGTTTAGATGGGGCCGAGACTTGGGCAGTTTTCGGGGGCTGCCCCGTTCAGGTTGGGGATGGAGGTTTTCGTGCCTGTTCCTCCTGCCAAGGCTTCTGGGTCTTACCAGCGGCCCTTCCTTGCTGCCTTTCCCATGGACTCTTCCTTTTCTTTAAGGGCGGAGGGCTTGGAGGACGGCTGTGCCCCGGGGCCTCTGTTGTGGGTTCCCGGGGCTGTGGGGGATGCCTGCTAGCAGTTCTGGGGCAGTTTGCCTCTGCCTGGGTTTTCTGCTTCTGGGCTGAGTTTTTCACCCATCCAGTCTGCTTGCTTCCCACTTTTGCTGGCATGTTTTCGTATCTTTTGTGTCCATCACAGCCCTCTGTTCTGGTGGCCATTTTCTTCTGCTGGTTTCCCGGCGTGGCCACCAGGGCGGCGTTGCAGTTTGTTTACATATGCGCCTCGGTGTGCGAGCGAGCTTTCTTGGGTGAGTTTCTTCACCTTTTTCAGGAGTTTTATTCTCCTATTGTCGTTTCTTTGCTTTTCTGGTGTTTTCTACCCGTTTCCTGTTCCTCTGGGAACGTTTGAGTGTTGCTCTTACACCGGGTTTTCCGTTTTGTCTTTTTTGGGTCTGGGCCCTTGGGTTTGGGCTCAGTGTCCCTGTCTGTTATGCTTGCTCCACACCTTATCCCTCGGTTTTCGGTCTGCTTTGACCGTTTCCCTGGGGGTTCTGTCTGGGGCTGTGCTTTGCCTTTCTGTGGTGTATCTCCGCCGGCAAATGTGGTGGCTTGGGCTTCCCCTGGTTCGATTCCGGGTTGCTTTGGGTTCTTTCGTTTCGTTCTGGAGGTTTCTTCCTCTTGGGCCCCTTTTGTGGGTTCAGGGGGCTTTGTTTCCTCATATGTGACCCGGTTCTGCCTTCTGGGGTTCCGGGGTCTTCCTGGCTAGCAGACTGATCTATTTGGGTCATGGCACGTGTTGTGGTCGTGCTGGGACTTTGAGGTTTTGTTGTTGAGGTGGGCCTTTTGATGCAGTTTTGTGCCTTCTTCGCCTGGCCGGCGTGGTGCTCTCTGCCCACTGGTCGGCGGCATGTAATTTTCTTTTCACGTGTATGTGTGTGTGTACACATGTGCATGTACATGTATACACTGTGTGTGTGTGTGTGTGTGTGCACATGTGTATGTGCATATGCACGTGTGTGTAACATACTTTGTGTGTATGTGTATATGTATGTGTATGTATATACATAAGATATATGTGTATGTGTGTATGTATACTTTTTCTTTCGGAAGGGGATCTGTTCCCTTCTCTGTTGACAGGGCGCTTGGGGAGCAGCTTGCTCTGTTGACTCTCGCATGGTCCTGCAGTTAGTGGGCGCTTTTGGTTTCTTCCGGCCTCTGGTGGCGGCGGTAGATGGCTTCTCCCCCTTTGGTGGGTTCAGGGCTGGCGGGGTGGGCTTCTTCCCCTGCGCTTCGTCATGTCATCTTCGTGGGTGCATTGGACGTGGTTGATCTGCCCCATCCTTCTGGGGTTCCCATCTTTTCTATGCAGACATGGGCCTGTCGAATCTGCAGTTCTTCTGGACTTCTTCAGTCTGCGCCCTGGATTCTATGCCCTCATCGGAGGACTGTTGTCTCCTGTCCGGCTTCTTTTGGGGCCGGGTGCCTGGATGGTGGCCCTGGACCTCCAGGTCAATTCTTGGCACGTTCCTTTCCAGTTTTCCGGGACTGACACAGTTGGTGGTGGGGATTCAGGCTTACCGATTTTGTTGTCTTCCCTATTTTGTAATTGGCACTTGGTGTATTTACACATCTTTACCTGATCTTGGTGCCCTGTCTGAGTCTGCTTGGGATTCGGTGTCTGGCCTACCTCGACGACTGGCTGGTGTGGGCTCCCAGTCGGTCCACTTGTCTACTCGCCAGGGGTGTGGTTCTTTCCAGATCGCCGGGTTTGGTTTCTTGGTGATCTGGAGGCCGTTCCATTTGTTTCCGTCCCGGGTTTGGACCTGGCTTGGTCTTGTTTAGGGCTGCTTGTCTTTCCCTCCAGAAGTGTTGATGCGGCTGTGGTCCCGCCTTCAGCTGTTCATGAGGGGGTCCCGGGTTGCTCAGCGGTTGCTCAAGCGGTTGTGCGGGAGTCTGAACTTCACCGTGCTGGTCTGCCCGTCAGGTCGGGTTTGGTTTTGGCGTCTGTTTGGTTTCTTCGGAGACTCCCCTTCCGCCTCTCTTGCAATCGTTGGGTTCGTTCCTCCGGGGATCTTGTGTTGGTGCTGTGTCACCAGCTTCCTCTTTAGGGTTTTTGGGGTTCCGTGCCTTGGCACCTCCCCGAGCCTTCACTCGATGCGTTCACGGACGGGTCATCTCTCAGCTGGGGCTTTGTGACCAGTGCTCACCAGGTCGGCCGGGGATGGTAGGGTCTGTCCGTCTGTCAGGCTAACAGCATGGTTCGGGTGTTTGTGGCTGTCTGGTTTGCCCTTTGGAGGGTTTGGGTCACTCGGTGCTCTACCATTCAGCTCCTTTCGGACTGTTCCCTGGCAGTTCTTTGCCGGACCCACAGGGCTTCTCTTAGGTGTTTGACTTTTGAGGTTGGTTCCTTAGAGTGGCTCATTTGCTGGATTCTCGGGGTTTGGCTAACCGTGAGGTTCATGTCCGAGGTGTGTTCTGCGTCCTGGCGGACAGCTGTCTCAGTTCATTCCTCTGTTCGCGGATTGGCCAGTCATTGCCGACTCGTTTCGTTGGCTCTGGCGGACGTATTTCAAGAAGATAACCTGACGTATGGACTCCTGGCCATGGACGTCTTCGAGTCGGCGTGGTCTAAGCGTCGCCTAGATAAGGGTAAGGGTAAGGCATAAAAGCGGGTAGGGGCGCCTCCACCGCCTCCCGCCTGCGAGGCGTTCACGGTGGATGCCTTTCGGCAGGACTGGTCGAGGTGGGGTTACCTGTTCCTCTTCTCCCGGTCCAGCTGTTGCTTCAGGTTCTGGCTCGGTTGGAGCCCATTCCCACGAGAGTAGTCCTTATGGTCCCTTGGTGGCTGGCCCAATTTTATTTTCAGACGCTGCTTGATAGGTGTCCGAACCCGGGGCGTTTTCCCGTGGCTCTGCCTCTTTCGGCAGGTCGGATCGGTCCTGTACATGATATGTTCAGCCTTCTCCTCGGCTCTTCGCGTCTGGTGTTTTGACGCAGGTATCACCATCTCTGTGGTGATCAGGTGGCTTTGTTGAAGGTGTCCCACCTGCGAGCTTCGTCTCGGCGACAGTATGACGTTCCTGGTGTTTCTATGCTCTTTTTCTTGCTCTTCGTACGTTGTCTTCTCTTCGCATCGGGTTGTCTTGTCCTTTCTTGGGTTTTCAGGACTGCAGTTTTGATGTTTCTTACTGTCGCCTTGTTTTGTGCGGCGCTGGCGGAGCCGCTCCGGCTTGCGTTCGGGGTGGACATCACATCTGCCCCATTTCGTACGCTTTCTCGTGTTTTGTTTCACCTCCGGCCTACTCATGCCTCGCCTGAGCCGTCCTGGTCCTTGATCAGGGTGCCTTCTTATCTTCTCAGTTTGTGGTAGCCCCTTTGGTTCAGGTTTCTGCTCTTTGGTACTGGTGGTAGATTTGTACGTTTGCAGCCTTTCTCCATCCTACTGGCAACGGTCGAGATGGCTGCTTTCTGGAGGGGTTCTTTGGTTATTGATGCTTGATTGGTTCGGCCGGATGTGCGTCCTGTGTTGTCCGGTTGCGCTTTTTTTGCCGTTACCTGCGTACCGTGTCTGGGGATGCGCTTTGGGTTGATCCGGTTCCCCTCGTTCCCTGTTTCAGAGCTCGGGTCTCCCAGGTCGTCCGCAGAGTTTTTAAGTCTTCCAGCCTGCGGTTTGTCCTCATTTCTCAAGGAATATGAGAGTTTTCAAGGAACCTTATATTCAGAGCCAGTATACAGCTCTGAATGGGGCTGTTAGTGCGCAACAATATTCCACCCTAGAGAACACTAGTGTCTTGAAAAGTATCATCATTTGTATGACATTCCTGGTTTGGAAGGTCCTTGTTTTCCAACCTGTTATTTTTCTTGCAGTTGTGACAGCTACTTTATTGTGTTCTGTAAAGTTAAGGTCTTCCAACATGATTACTCTTAGATCTTTTACATTGCTTTTCTGTTTTATAGTGTGGTTTGACTCGGTTTTATATATATGGTTTCTGTTTTTACATTTTCGTTTTTTCCATAACCCAGGAGCTGGAACTTATTTTCATTAATCATCATATTATCTGTGGTCCATTATTATATTATCATCATATTATGTGGTCTTTCCTCTTTGAAAGACCAGATTTACATCCGATTGGAGGTTTGCTGTGTTATCTGTCCTAGTGTTATCTGCAAATGATGATACAGTATTGTAGTTTGTATCCTTGTTTATACCTGATATTAGGATGAAAAAAGAACCTTCCTCTCTCTTACGTTATCCAATTCTTTCTTTATCCCATTCTTACCTTTCATCCTATTCTTACCTTTCTCCTTACTCTTACCCTCTTGTCTTACCTGCTTCTCACTTTGCTCTCTCTCCTTGTATATTTGGCCATATCATCTTCTCTTCTATGACACGACTTGATAATGGTCCAGAATGGACCAAAGTGTCGTCGTTTCTCCATTTTCTGATGTGTGGTTTGGTCATCAGATCCATTGAATGTTGTACCTCCAGCACCTATTAGCAAATAGTTGGCACTTATCACAGACAGCTGCAACACCACTGAAGAAACTGGAAACTGGTAACCATTGTGGAACACGTGTACCAAGTACCGAATAGCACATCATTACCACACACTCGCCAATTCCCTCGCCTGGTTCGCACTAACAGTGGTCTTTCACCTTATTGCCTCCTTCAGAACTGTCACCTCCACCACAGGCTTGTCCCTGGCACTCAAAGCAGACAACCACAGACCATTGTTTCTAGCACGAATAGTGTAGTGCTTTGGCCTGGAACTGCCACTCAACCTGTTCCTGGTTGGAAAACTCTAATGGTGGGATGTGCTGACTACTATTCCAGTGACCATCTTGATTGGCATAGGGAGTCCTCCCACTCTTGGTTGGTAAGCCAACCTCCACTCTCTCTCCCCCCCCCCCACCCCCCCCTCACCCCCCTAAACCTTATTGCCATCAACAGAATTAAGGTCCGAACCTGGTGGAGATGCCCTTAATCTTTCATTAATGATTTGAGTGGCTTTTCCTCTTTGCAGCCATCAAGGGGTAAATCATTCGGCAAGATTTTACAAATGCACTATGATAAGCTCATCTTGGACCCTGCAAGCAGTGCCCTTGGCATGCTAAGCACATTGTGGTACCATTTGGTATCATTGTCATGCCACAAATCATCCCACAAGTTTACTATAGTAAATCCAATTGACTGGACTCCTATTACCATCATCTGACTACTCTGGTAGCATCATCTCCTTTCTGGCTATAATCCCCCTCTCACTTCCTTCTGCCATCTTTGTTACCTGCTCCATGAACATACTGTTGTGTTACTGTGTACTTTACCTACTTCCCTCCTCTCCAGCTGTTGTAAAAGACTTGCTCAAACTATGTATATCATCCTCAGGAAGAGACATTGCCCAGGCAGGAGACCTACGAAACTTTCGTGCCAAATGGCCTACCGTGTACATTGACAAAACTCAGATTCGGGAAAATGATATTGGCATCTCGACTCTTCATTATAACAGGTATATTTTAAACATTAGTTAGTAATTCTTTAACTATTTATGAGTATACAGACCCTGTAGGGGACTTGAAGCATGGGATTTATCTAAGTTTCTTAGCCAGTTCCAGGCATTGTCTGTGATGCCACTGTAGCGAGTATAAGCTTACTCGCTACCTGTAGCGAGTAAGCTTATACTCGCTCCACCACAAATCCACTGATAATCCTTAACCCGAGTAAACAATATATACTATATATTATTCTATATTTTACATATACAGTACTGTATTTATGAATTTACTCTATGCTATTTGTAGCTAGTAAATGTGCATAATTGTAACCTATCCACCACTGCCCACTGGATGGGAGGGGGGGGGGGGGCAGTGTACAGGATAAACATATCAAATTATTAAACGAGCTCACCACATAAGTTCCTTTACCTTAGAGACTGTACTCGTGGTTATTCTTGAACCCAGTAACTGTTTATATAATAATATACATTAAACTGTGCAACAAGCTTATGAAGACGAACTTGCTTTGCTAAGTGAATTGTGGGGTTAAGTCCCAGAGCCCATTATGTTCCTCTGTAGCCTTTCCCACTACTGCCCATAGGATGGGTATGGGGTGCATAGTAAGTGAAATAAACTAAAAAAATCAGTTTGCTATAAAAATCAGCAGAATTAGCTAAATTCATTAAGTGTTAAGTTTATTAAGTATTAAATTAGTATGAGACATTCTTTTATTGAATAAATATATGTTATCTCTTTACAACCATCAACACTAAAACTATCTTGACAATGACCAAAGTAACTGGCACCTGTAGAGCAGTGGTTCGTGCGGGCGGTTCATGACCGAATTGTTTAATTCTCCGGCACTATGAGACGTCTGGACACATTTCCTTACACTAGTAGTGCCTCTGTTCACCTACAAGTAAATAGGTACCCAGGAGTTAGTCAACTGTTGTGGGCAGCATTCTTGGGAAGGTCAGTCATTGCGGATGAACTGCAGTAAACCAGAGGCTGACTCTAAAGGGGTGATTTGCTTTTCCAGGGGAAGACCACCAGGAAAACCCTCAAGATTTGAAACCAAATCAAAATGCTGAAGCTCTGAACAAAATATAGTCATGGGATTGCGCCACAGAAGCATCCACTTCTCTAACCGAACTGGGGAAAAATTAGGGAGGGCCTATGGAAACAGTACACAATACACACTCATTGAGGTCTGTTGTTCACACCTGGAATATCAAGAAACCTCCCAGTGAGCCAGGGAAATATCCCTATGAACCAAGGGAACCTTTCAGTGAGCCAGGAGAACCTCTCAGTGATCCAGGGAAACCTAACTGTGAACCAGGGAAACCTCTCTGTAAACCAGGGAAACCTTCCTGTGAACAAAGGAATCCTCCTTGTGAACCAGGGAAACCTCCCTGTGAGCCAAGGGAAACCTCCCTGTGTGCTAGGAAAACCTTCCTGTGAACCAGGGAAACCTCCCTGTGAGCCAGGGGAAACCTTCCTGTGAACCAGGGAAACCTCCCTGTGAGCCAGGGGAACCTCCCTGTGTGCTAGGAAAACCTTCCTGTGAACCAGGGAAACCTCCCTGTGAGCCAGGGGAAACTTATTTGAACTGGGGAACCCCTCCCAGCAGACCAGGAACTGAGGAACCGGTTCCATCAGACCTGGAACTGAGGAACTGGTTCCAGCAGACCCGAAAACCAACCTTATGGGCTGGGATATTGTCCCCAACAAGGCTGTGTGTGTTTCATGTAAACTGGTGTATTTTCCTGATAAACTGATGTACAGTATTTGCAAATAATATACAGTATGTTTAGTCAATGTTAAGCGTGAGTTTGTATTTACCGAGCCATCAACATGTAGAGTTTGTATGAGGTGTACTGTAAGGGGACATTTAGCTAATCACTGATGTATATTTACCTGATATTACCTGAAGGCATTAACACTAGTGGCCTCAAGAAAGATAGGAAGCCGGCAGCTTGTCAAAGGTACTCCCATTTGCTCTGATGATTTTTTCCAGTTATATTTTAAAATTTAACAGTTTTGGCATGTATGTCTTTGGCAGGTAGGCAGTTCCATGGGTTTATAACCTTGTGGGTGAAAAAACAACTGTTTTCAGTCCTACATTGTGGCTTGTTGAGCTTGAAACCGTTGCTCCTTGTTTGTGTTATATCTGACATTTTGAAGTTGTCTGGATCAACTTCCTCCAAATTTTTCAGGATTTAAAGTTTCAATGAGATCCGCCCTGTCATGCCTGGTTTGTAGTGTTGTTGGCCCTGTGGCCCTCAACCATTCCTAATACACGAGTTGACTTGGCTTTGGAAGGATTTTTGTCACCCGATGTTGCATTTTCTCCAGAGCAGCTATGTATTTGTGAAGATGAGGTCTCCATGCTTGAATACAATAACCCAAATGGGGGCACACCAGAGATATCTATAGATACTATAAGCCAGTAAGGATGGGTTTCATGAGCTCATACTCTAGGGTATGACTTCCAATCCTGTATCCTTACAGCCTTACGATACTCATTTCCTGAACTATTGATTGGCACTACCAGTATTGATGGCATTGGTTCACCAACGTTTGAATTTCTTTAAAACAGTAGGCTTCCTACTGCCACCTGTAAAGCACTTCTGACATTAGAATGTTGCTCTGACACAACTTGAACACTTCATATGACATGTCTGCCTAGCAAATTGGACACTAGATCAGGAGTGGGTGCTTCATAGCTCTCCCGGCTTGGTGCCTTCTTTTGATAATTACTTACTTGAATCAGGAGCGCTAATCCCACTGCCTACACCACCTATGCCTATCTCAATATTTATTTATATATATATATACACAAGAAGGTACATTGGGTTAATATTTATTTATATATATATACATAATCCACTTGACCATCACGACCGGACATAATGAGGTGATAGCCGAGGCTATTTGAACCACCCCACCGCCGGCACTCGGATAGTAATCTTGGGCATAGCATTTGTGTTCCTCACGTGTGCCCCAAAGAATGAGGTGATTTGGTAAAATGCTATGCCCAAGATTACTATCCGAGTGCCGGCGGTGGGGTGGTTCAAATAGCCTCGGCTATCACCTCATTATGTCCGGTCGTGATGGTCAAGTGGATTAAGGCGTCTTGTACATACCAGTTGCGTGGCTCCTGGGAGTATGGTTCGAGTCACTTCTGGGGTGTGAGTTTTCAGTTGCATATTGTCCTGGGGACCATTCAGGCTTGTTCGCATATATACATAAGAAGGTACATTGGGTTTATGAGAGTACAATATCTCAATACTGTACGTATATGTAAATGAAGAGTGTGTGTTGAAGCTGGGACAAAGTTTGCACAGCACACAAGTTATAATAGCCTCCTAACCTTGTTAGAGAACAAAGATAAAATCCTACACTTTGTGACGTGGGAGTGGCAAGTGTCCGTTCTTGCATCATCTGTTTTCTCTATTGCTCCCAGATCTTTGAACTGATGCGTTTTCATTTCAGGAAATTGGACAGTTTTAATAATGATAAGATTTTTTTTACTTGTTTACTTTGTTTATACATTATATAATTGCTTCAACAGATACCTAACAAATGACGGAGACCATCTTTTGCGATGCGCCAACGAGAGCATGATGGTGGTTAACTCTGAGATCACCAAGAACCAGAATCAGGCGGTGTTTACACTCTCGCCTTACAGAGTCAGAATGGATAATGATGACATCGGAGAGATAACGTTCATGTTTAATGGCACCACTATCTCGGGCAATGGCAGAGGCATCGATCAGTACAGCTGGTAAGTGTATCACATCATTCATAGAGTACATGAATGTTTATACTTTGTACATTAGTACATAGGTTGTACTTTATTGGTGTGAGCTGAATTCAGGAAGTGTTGCCAGGACTTTTCATTGATAAAAGGTCCTGTAGGACAGGGTCTGTGTCCCCGACTTGAAATTGAGGGACTCGGGTTCAGCCTCCAGGCAGGCTGAACCGGTAGGCATGTTTCTTTAAACCTGATGCCTCTAGTCACCTAGCAGTAAATAGGAACCTGGGAGTTGGACAACTGGTGTGGGTTGCATCCCGAGGAAGGTCAGTAATTGACCTAGTGGACCACAATAAGCCTAAAATACAAAATTGTGAACCCAACAACAAAAATTATAGGTCCTCGCAAGTTAAATGTAATTGTCAGTCAAGTCTACTGTCTACATATTGCTTCTCTACAGACGTGTTTGTGATGAGGTCACACAGTGAACTGATATGGTCCTGTGTATGCCTTCGGAAACAAGTACCATACCCGTGTTAAAAACTTGTGCCATTGGTGTATAAATATAGGGCTTTGTGCTTTTCAGAGAGGTAGACTAATGAACGAAGCTGGTACATTATCTTGCACTTGTTTCCCTATTAACACTTTATTATAATGAATGAAACATTTCCCTATAAGCTGAGGTGGGTGGTGGGTGAGTGACAGGTGAGGTGGGTGGTGGGTGAGTGACAGGTGAGGTGGGTGGTGGGTGAGTGACAGGTGAGGTGGGGGTGGTGAGAGACAGATGAGGTGACAGGTGAGGTGGGTGGTGGGTGAGTGACAGGTGAGGTGGGTGGTGGGTGAGTGACAGGTGAGGTGGGTGGTGGGTGAGAGACAGATGAGGTGGGTAACAGCTGAGGTGGGTGGTAGGTGAGTGACAGGTGAGGTGGGTGGTGGGTGAGTGACAGGTGAGGTGGGTGGTGGGTGAGTGACAGGTGAGGTGGGTGGTGGGTGAGTGACAGGTGAGGTGGGTGGTGGGTGAGTGACAGGTGAGGTGGGTGGTGGGTGAGTGACAGGTGAGGTGGGTGGTGGGTGAGTGACAGATGAGGTGGGTAACAGCTGAGGTGGGTGGTAGGTGAGTGACAGGTGAGGTGGGTGGGAGACAGCTGAGGTGGGTGGTGGGTGAGTGACAGGTGAGGTGGGTGAACAGGTGAGGTGGGTGGTAGGTGAGTGACAGGTGAGGTGGGTGGTGGGAGTGACAGGTGAGGTGGGTGGTGGGTGAGTGACAGGTGAGGTGGGGGTAACAGAGTGACAGGTGAGGTGGTGGGGGTGAGTGACAGGTGAGGTGGGTGGTGGGTGAGTGACAGGTGAGGTGGGTGGTGGGGGTAGTGACAGGTGGTGGTGGGGTAGTGACAGCTGGGGTGGGTGGTAGGGTAGTGACAGGTGAGGTGGGTGGGAGACAGCTGAGGTGGGTGGTGGGTGAGTGACAGCTGAGGTGGGTGGTGGGGTAGTGACAGCTGAGGTGGGTGGTGGGGTAGTGACAGCTGGGGTGGGTGGTGGGGTAGTGACAGCTGGGGTGGGTGGTGGGGTAGTGACAGCTGGGGTGGGTGGTGGGGTAGTGACAGCTGAGGTGGGTGGTGGGGTAGTGACAGCTGGGGTGGGTAAGGGAGTGAGTGGATGAAGATAATGCTATGGATATGGTCAGTGTAGGTAATACAGAAATATACAGTAATGTAAACTGCTGTTACTTGTATAATATATCATCTATTTTAATGTGAATAATAAACACTTATATTTTATAATTGGATATTTCATACAATATGTATATTTCTGTGTCTAGGAGGTATTCATGTTTCATGTATAAGTATGAATATTGTTGTGTACACTATAACGTAATTAGCTTTATATATAGTCATTAGAAAAGACAACTTCAACATAGAATAATGCCCAATTTGTCTTCTTCAGGGATGTTCGTGAGTCCAACAACCTCTTCCATTGGGTGCTGGAGGATACAATAATGGAAAATAATGGAGGTGGCGGCGTTGTGCTAATGCTGCCGTATGTTTGGCAATACACGGAAAACTTCACTCATTCTATTTATGTGAATTCGTCAACCTTTATGAATAATGCTCAGTTCCAGTTCAAGGTGGATGGGCACTTTGCTCGTGTAAACATTACATATTCAAAATTTGAAAAAAACACTTGTCAGCAAGGTCTTTTGCTACTGAAGGGCATGGAAAAAGAAATGTTTATATATGAAAACCTGTTTGTCTCAAACGTCGGCTCAAATGTTGTGGAGTTTGATACCGACAGTCAAAGTGGCATCCTTGGAGTTGTAAAAGCTTATTTTGAATACAACAGAGTTCAAGGAAACAGTCATGCAGTTCAGCTCAGGAGCAGTGCGTCTCGAGCCTCCCAGCCGGCCAGCTACACTATAGCCGTCCGGGGACTTCAGAAAATCAATATAACTCACAACCAATTTGGATCCAATGAAATGGACTATGAATTATTAGCAGGGCTATTTACCAGCAGGATTGATAATTATCTCAATGTTGAAGCTAATTGGTGGGGTTCTCGTGACCCTAAGGTGATTGAAGAACGCATCTTTGACTTCGATGACTGGAACAATTTTGCCCTTGCTGACTATCTTCCATACCTCACAGAAGACAGTCTTTCTGCACCTGTGTCATCATTGGCTTCTTCTATGAAAGAAAAAACAATGGATACGAGTTCCCTCGGTGGCCGACTTCTACACGATTTACGATTACCCAAACGCGCCGAGCCGTACGTAATCAAATCAGACTTGACTGTTATGCCAGGAGTGACATTGGTAATAGAAGCAGGTGCTATACTGGAATTCTTCCCAAGTGTTGGCATGCTCATCTTGGGTCGTCTTGAAGCCGTGGGTCGTAGAAACAACCGCATCATTATGCGACCGATTGATACCTCTTCTGCAACACACTATAGAGTTGGACGACAAATCAAATCATCCTTAGACTCCGTTAGGTTATGTGTGGAAGGAAATTGTGATGGAAGGAGGTAAGTACATTAGAGACAACTTTTATTTTAGATGTAAAAATGTAAGTCAAATATGTTTCATCATAAAATTAATTTAAAGTTTAAACATGGAAACATCTGTAAATGTATTTCTTGAAGGTCTAGCAGTTAAGTCTTTTATTTCCTCACTAGTTTTTTCAGTATTGTAGTTGCCATGGTTACTGAGACTTTTATAATTTTATTTAAATTTCATTCCTGCTGCTATTAATGATATAATTTATATAAATAAACTCTACAGGTAGTAGATATTTTGTTGATTGAAGATGTTTACTGAGTGAGATATGTATATATCCAAATAAAATTAATCACTCGCTTTTAAAGCAACATTCAATTGGAAATTCAAATCAGAAATATTCACCATGATTATATAGTTAACATAACAGTGTTTTATTTTATCAATGAAGAGACGGCTTCTTGGACATCTTTAATGGTACAACAAAGCAGTGGGTGCCTATCTGTGACGATAGGTTCAGTGAGCGTAACGCCCAGGTAGTGTGCCAACAGTTAGGCTACAACACCATCAACACCTTCTATGGCCGTAGTAAAAGAACCGAGATGTTCCCAAATGCTCTCACCCGTATTCGATCGTGGCCAGACCCTATTCAGTGTGATGGTAAGATTTTATACTACACATGTATCTTGAAAAACTAATTTTCCATATTTGAGCTCAGTGTACATTGTGACTAATATGCAGTATTGATATAGCCACTTGACCTTACAGTAGTTATAGTCATTTTGTATTATGACTCAAATTGTACTCGTCAAATTGTACTCATCAACTTTGAACGCATCAAATTTATATTCATTTTTGCACTTCTGAGTAAGTTTTCTGTTTAATTTCCAGAGCTAATATATGCTTTCTGTTTTAATTACAGTACTTACAACAGGGAGACGAGATTAAAGCTTTTAAAATTATGAGAGACTTATTCATATAACATTGACCTTCTTCAAAATCTGCTGGTGAGCAGGGACACTCATCATTAATATACAAAATGATTCAAATTTATCTGTCTTTCTCAGGCACGGAGGCAGGTCTTGACGAGTGTGCTCTTCGGATGAATGGCCAGATCTTCAACCACACCTATGACTGTGCCTGGAATGGTGACTTTGTTTATATCTCTTGTGGAGATCTCAATTTAGAGAATGAGAACCAAGAATACTGGGGTGGTATAAGGTACATATACTTGTTCTTTCTGTATGGTGATACCATGTGTGTAGGATAAGACTGTAGTGGGGGAGCCCCTTGTGGTTCCCTGAAGCTATCTTGCTAAGATGACTTCCTACTATTAGGTCACATCAGCTGAAAGATTCTTGCTGTTTCCCACTAGGGACCAGAGCCAAAACCTGGCCCTTCACAGAGGTGCAGAGAGCAGGTGACAGAGCCGCCCCACTGGAAACACACCCAGAAAGTCAGTGCATCAATACAGACCACTACAGGGTACAAAGAGACCAAAGTTTCGAAACTGCCAAATAAACTCTGCAAACATTGTAAGCAAATGATCGAATATTTTGAGATTTATGCTTCATTGTTAGCGCTGACCCTCCCCCCTCCCACATCAGTTGGAGGGGAAGGTGGAGCTCCAGGTGTTCCCCAGCCTTCCAAGTCTTGAGCACATGTGAAGATCACAAACACCAGTCAAAGAATAAGGAAGGGAGGGAGGGAATCAGGGAGCCACTGGGGGCTCAACAAAAAAAAGAGGCATTTCTTAAAATTTTGTGCTGGTGTTCTAGGAGTCCCCTGTGGCTTCCTGAAGGTAACAACGCATAGAGAAGAATAAGGGACTCACCAGAGAGGATGAGATACTACAGGTAATCAAGATGAAAGAGACAGCTGGTCAAAAGAGACAACCCAGGGCAACACAGGCATGATGAGACCTGGGGACATTAACTAAATACCGAGCCGCCAATTCTCTTAGACCGCCAACACCCCTGTGCCCAAATATCAGCCCAAGACATGCTTGTGAAGTCTGCTCCAAGAGCAGTATACTTACAGACATCATGGGCATGAGAATAGACTGCAGGCTGGCTAGAGTTTGACACTCTGAACAACCATTGAGGAACACGAGCCTCGGAACAGGAAACAAAGGAAGAGGAATTAACCCCAAAGCATCCCTGAGGCAGAATCAATGGCACGAATGTAACAGTGAAGAGCCACCACCAGGAACAGCACATGATGCACCCTCTGGGACACCAACCAAGCATCATTAACCAAAGGACCCCTACTGGAAGCCCACTAACTCATTCTTGACCAGAAATGAAGGAGATTGCTGCAAAACAAACATAATGCCCACCAGAACCTCCTGGTCTCCTGACCATGTCCTCTCTTCTTTCGGTTCTGTTCCATTTCCACAGAGTGGACCTCTCGATGACTCATCCTTCCATTGGGTCTGTGAGATGTTTGGTCACTCTGTGTTGAAACTCTTGTGTTGGTGTGGAAGCAATGGCTTCCCTCTTATGTGGTTCCATTTCCCAATTGCAAAGCTCTCTGAAATCCTGGAAGCAGGATCCTTGCAAAGGATCCTGCTTGGAAATCCTTGCAAAGCGAAATCCTGGAAGCAGGATGCTCCTCCTGGGCCATCTTGGGCTCTCAGTAAGGCTTTGGCATTTCTTTCCTCCTCCTCAGTTCTCAGTTGCCCCATCAGCAAGGGATTCATTTCTAAAGGCTCTTGAAATAACTCTCACCTTTAGTTGTCAGGTGGGAAAGTTTTATGCTCTCTTCTGGAGGTGGGGCTTCTATTTTTTTGTGCCTGGTGAGCAGTTTTTGTTTGTAGTTGTCTACTTTTCTGGCAGAGAATGAGGTGGTTGGCTTTCTCTGCCAGAATACTGCAGAGTTCAAACATGACCTCGTACACAGACACCATACACAGTTTCAAATGTAGATTTGATGGAGCCCAATAGGCTCCAGAATCTGTACATCCGTTGACTGACAGTCGAGAGGCGGGACCAAAGAGCCAGAGCTCAACCCCTGCAAGCACATCTAGGTGAGCAACTAGATGAGCACAGGACTTCTATGGCTGATGTGACTCAGTAGGAGGAAGCCATCCAGGCAAACTAGCTTCAGGGAGACTCCGAGGCTCTTCCTGAATTTCAATGCCGAGTTTTTCTTAAGTACAAATTAATAAAATTATATATTACGGCATTGTAGCATTGTTAGGTGTAAAGTTAGGTAAGGTGTTTTAGTTGCATTGATTTTGGCTTTGTTTACAATTGTGGCTGGAAGTGAATGAAGTGCATTTTGAGTCATAGCTTCGCACGTGGTCAAGTGGAATGTAAGTCAAATGCTCTACTGACTTAGGTAGATTATAGTAATTTGACTTATACGTTGTGAACTAGATTGTCCTTTGTTTTGGTGATATGCTACAATGTTTGTTGGTTTGGAGTGGAGCAACATACAACTTTAAAGTAGCAGAAGTCTCCGTGGTGCAGTGGTAAGACACTCGCCTTTCCGCGATCATGGGTTCGTACAGGGAGGATTTACCACAATTCATTGTAGCCTCTGTTTAACGCAACCTGCAATGTTGCCTTGGATGAAAAAACGATTAAATTAGTATTCCAGGGACCTGCACGAAACGCTACGCGTACTAGTGGCTGTACATGAATGTAACACACAATATCTCAAAAAAAAAAAAAAAAAAACATTGCCCCTTGTAAATTAGTCACCATATATGCTTTATTCACACAAGTCAAAAGCCTCTTGAGTGCTTCCAATGTAAAATAAACAGTTATGCCTGTAATTTATGCTAATGAACTTAAGACTGCTTTCCAATTTACAGGCAGTGTTTCATTATTGTCTCTTATGTTTGGTAGATAGTAAACAGTAGTTTAAAGAATTATCTTCATCTGAGGCTGTCTGGAACAGTTAATAAATATAAATAATATAATCAGATAATATTCAAATACAGTATAGCGCATAAATTAGTTGATGTTGAAAAGTTTTCCATCAGGATGTGCTTTACCATACAATTCATCTTTGCAGGTTTTCAATCCCTAATTTTGAGCACATGGATGTGTACAAGAGGATTCACAGCGCAAACAATCTGGAACATGCACACACGCACCCTCAGGTGCATGGTTCCTCACACTCTACTGTATTTATGTCTGTGATGGAATGGGTCGAGGTTGTTGGAGCAGGCATACTTCACAATGACAAGTCTCCATCAATCCTTTCTTTCCACGAAACACCAAAACTAAGAGGAGTTACCATAAGGAATTCTGCTTATGATGGTCTGTCAATTGTCTCGGCCTCGGATGGATTTGATATGCTGTACAACAAGTAAGTTTGAACTCTAACATAATGTTCAGCTTTCAGTCAGAAAATAGGTAAACAACCTGTACTGTACTGCCAATTCTGGCTGTCAGAGATTGGCAAATATTATTTATTCTTTACTGCATTTACATAATTATTATGTTTCATTATTTATAAACTTTAATTTTTAGAAGAGCATTTTTGTGACTTTTTCTATTCTCATCGTAGTGTCAAACAGTGCTCACTTGCACTTCATTATAACAAGAGTACCTTAACATTTAAGCTAAGATTTCCCCCCCTAACTATCTCCTATTTAGCTCCAAACGTGCTGTTGTATTGAAACACATTTCAAGACAAAGAGGCTTTAATTTCAGATTAGCTATGTCAGCTACTCCATCTTTACCAGTGAGAGAGAAGAGAAGAAAACATATATTTTCATCAATGCAATAATTAAAATTGTTGTGTTTGGGTTTTGTATTGTTGTTTTACAAATGAAGGCCTTGCTTAGCTTAATTGAATGGCACGGGAGGATTTTCTAATTTTTATTGTGGGGGGGGGGAGTCCCATTTACTAGCAGAAGCTATTGGACTGATATTAGCTAATATTAGTACATGGCTTCAGTCATATGGAGTGATCATGCCTTCTAGGGTCCACTAGCCAGAACCTGGTCCCCTCAGAGAGGTGCAAGGAGCAATGGCCTATGAGACACTCATGTATGAAAGTATTCATGTCTGCCATCAACCGGGGTTGAGCACCCAGAAAGGTAGACGCTCCAAAACAGTCCCCTTCTGGTAGAAAACTTGCAACCTGAGACCGAACAGAGGCTAGAAACTCCCCCAAGGAAAACAAGCTAACAAGCAACACGTCATCACACCCCCTCGGGTCGGGGGAGAGGGGGGGTCCCGGCTCGCTGATCCAGCAGCCGGACCGTCAGTTTGTCGACTGAAGCTAAACGGGGTGGAGTCTACTCTGGTCTCAGTTCCCTGACAAGCTTTTCACCTGGGTGGTGGTTCCTGTTGTGTGTTGGTGCGGTGGCCAGTAGTTGGTACCAACGGCTGCATGTACTTAGGGCTCCCTTCCCTAGGTGCCCTCTGAGTACACTCCTTGGGCATCAGGGTTCACTTCCCTGGAATCTTCGGGTTCCCACTCCTGTAGAGGTAACGGTTTTCTTGACTTCTGCCTCGCCCTTGGGGTCAGCTTAGGTCTCGGTGCTTTCGTTTGGCCCTGGGTAAGGGGTAGTTTTAGCTGGTTGGGGCGCACTGGGCTACCCAGCTTGCATAATTGCAGTGGCTGTGCCTCTTTCTGGTCCCCTGGAATGTGGTGCTTCCTTGGGGTTCTAATTCCTGCTTTTGTTTTTCTTTATTGCCCGTTGGGAGGCTGCTGGGGTTCGTATTAGGTGATACCTAGGTTCAGTAGGGCGGTCCTCCTCTGGGCCTCCGAGGCTGCTCACCCTACATGCGCCAGTTTGCCTGGATAATATACGGCGTTTTAACTGGCTTTGGCAGCACGTTTGGCCCTGGGCTTCCCGTAGAGATACATCCCCCCTATGGGCCTTGGAAACCCCAGGTGGGGCTTGGTTGACAGATAGACAAGTCCTCCAAGTCCCATCTCGCCTTATGTGAGTTTGAGGTTGTTTGTTGCCCCTGTCTCTGGGTGACAATTACCTGTTCTGCCTCCTTCGTGCTGCTTGTTGGGTCGACGACACCTTCGACCCAGAGTCTTGCAAATCTTGTTCTCTGCTAGTACTCTGATTTACCCATTCTGCTGTAGCCGAGGTTAGGGGTCAAGCAGCATGCGCGTTGCATGCTAGGTTTAGGTTGGTTACCTGCTTGAATGCCCTGGGGCTGCCCCATTTTGGTTGTAGGGATTCGGACTTGGGGACGTTATTCTCATCGCCCTAGGTTCAGTCCGCGTCCCTTCGTCCTTCCCTTGTTTGTGTGGTTCACCCTCCTCTTTCCCCTCCTCCTGCCGGCTCCCAAACTAAGGTTTTCGGAGTCGGGGGCAGGGTTTAGCTGGGGAGACTCGGGCAGCTCCGGGAATTGCCCCATTCGATGCGGGGACGGAGGCATTCAAGTCTGTTCCTCCTGTTGAGGCTTCCTGCTCCTTCCAGTAGGACCCTTTCTTTGCTGCCTTTCCCTTGGACTCTGCCTTTTCTGTAAGGGTGGAGGGCATTGAGGACAGCTTTGCCCCAGATCCTGGTTTGGAGGATTTCTGGGAGGCAGCCTGGGGTGCTTGAGCCTCTTTCAATCATGCCTGGGTCTTGGTGTCTTTGGGGCGGGGTCTGCTGTTGCAAGGTCCAGGGTTTTCATATCCCCCTTCCTTGTACAAATTTGATATGGGGGTCAGCTCCCCCCAGGGTTCATTTCTGGGTTCCCTTGCGTTCTGTGGCTTTGTCCTTCCAGAGGTTTTCTACATCTCGTATTTTCCCTGTAGAGGTTCGGGAGGCCCTCGGTACCTACCTCCTGCGAGACTCGGATTTTGCCTCTGTGATGGACCCGATCTCTTTATTGAGTTTAGGTCTTCTTCCCCGTATTTGTGTGTGTTATGAGGTTCTGGCATCTTCCTGGCTTGCAGACTGCCCTTTCTTTTCGTTGGGGACATAGCATGCGTTCTGTCGTACCCACACACTTGAGTGGTGAGAGCTCACTATGGTGTTGCAGGTGTACTTAGGGGCACATTTGAGCACCTTAATTCGTGCTTGTTCACATGCGGACTCAGTTGTCGTTCAGTTTTTGCAGGCGACTTCTGCTAGTTGCTGCCCTCTTTCGGATATGTTAGTTGTCCGGGGTGCACATTTTCGTGCTTCCTGGAAAGGTTGTGCCAGGGTTCAGGTGTCTGATGGTCGAGGTGAGCCCTTGGTGTCAGTTTCTGAACCGGCACCTGTTTCAGAGTTGTTTTCGTCAAGTCGATGCGGTGCTCGCTCTGCGCGCAAGTCGGAAAGGTTGCCGGCCCTTTCGCTTGCCCATTGACGGGGCACTGAGGCTCTGGCTCAGACGGGCTGGCTCTGTTTGCCCACGCTTGGTCCTATGATTCGTGGGAATTTCAAGTCGTGTCATCTAGCCTGCATTGGAGTTAGGCAGCTCCTTCTCCTCCGGGGTGTTCAGAGCTGGTGGGGTAGGTGTCTTTCCCTTTGCCTCGTCAGGTCATTTTGGAGTGAGTGCACTTGGACGTGGTCAAAACGACCTCGTCCCTCAAGTGGGTTTTCTGCCCGTTTCCAGTCCCGAAATCGGACTCGGCAGATCAGCGGTTCATTCTGGACTTGCCACATCTGAACCCTTGGATTACTTGCCCTTCTTTTCAGATGACCACTCTGTCCCAGGTCCGGCTTCTTTTATAGCTGGACCTGGATCTTTGCCAGACCTGGAATGAAATGCTGGACCTAATGGAAAAGCCATTTCTTCCTTTTTCCACCTCCGGCCTGCTCATGTGCCACCTGAGCTGTCCTGGTCTTTGTTCCAGGTGCTCTCCTTTCTCCTCAGTTTGTTGTGGCTTTTTCAGTCTAAGACTGTTTCCAGAAGGCTTTGTTCTTGTTGGCCATGGCTTCTAAGGGACGGGTCGGGTCACGTTGCTTCATGCTCTCCTCCGGCTCCGAGGCTTTTCCTCTTTTGGTCCGGGTGGGCGTTTTGTTCATCTGCAGCCGTCTCCTTCTTTTCTGGTGAAGAACGAGATGGCGGGCTTCCAGAGGGGTCCGTGGGTTGCAAGGTTGGTCAGGCCGGGGGTGCATCATGTTTTGTGTCCAGTTGTGAATTTACAGCGTTACCTGGCACCTCAACTTCTGTGTCGGGGGATGCGCTGTGGGTTGACCCGGTATCTCTTGTTCCCTGTTCCAGGGCTCAGGTCTCTTAGGTCGTCCGTGGGGTTATCAAGTCCTGGCAGCCTGCAGTATTCCCTCGTGCCCATGATGTTCGTAAGTGTGCCGCTTTGGCTGCTGGGTTTGGTAATATGTCTTGGGCTGACATTTGGGCATGGGGGTCTTGGAGGTCAAACAGGGTCCTGGTTGCCCGTTATTTTGCTAATGTGCCAGGCCCTCAGTGGTCTTGTCATCTTGGGTCAGCGGTCGCAACCAGTTGTCTTGTCTTTGTTATGAGTTGTGCAGTACAGCCGCCTCCCGGGTAAGTCCCTATTTTCCTGCTCTTTGGGTAGTTAGCTCCAGGGAGCCAACTGGGCTCCCCCACACTAAACTACCATTGAATATAATGAAATGGCATTTTCTGGGTTGAGCAACGGAGGCTCTCTGGCACCCTCCCTTCACCCGGTCAGCGGTTTTTGTTTCCGTTTTTTAAGTTTCTTAACTAATGGTCCGGCTGCTGGCTCGAAGGCCCGGGACCCCCCACTCTCCCTCTGTGGGGGGGGAGGGGAGGATAAAATTATCAATTTATTTATTGTATTATTCAGCATATGTATTAATATCAGACTAAAAAATGATAATAATGCAATTTAGTAACACACTAAAATTTTGTCCTCAGATTTGAAAATAACCTTGGTGTTGGAGTGACACTTATGGGTCTGACTGGGGAGACGCGCGAGTCTGAGGAGTCATCATTCTTCCCCCTCAGTCACTTGCGTCTTCCATACCACATGTTCGGGATGGTAGATGTCTGTGACTCAACCAAGGAACTCAGGATTGAGGAAAGAATTATTGTCTATTTCAAATATGACAATCGGCCTGTGGACTGTGTCAAGATATTTTCTTCGGTGTTTAATGTTAAAAATTTTGGATTCAGGTATGTAATGCAATTTTGTTTTGTTTCTGTAATGTCTTTGATTTTGCTTATATTTATTGGTTTATTTATTTATTTACAGGCATTTATAAAAAAGGCACAATGGGTTTTTGTTCAAATTTTAGTGCTAGCTGCATAGTAGACTCCTGGTTGTACATAAAGGGACAGCAATTATTTATACATAAGTTTGTATGCCAGTGAACATTTTCAATGTGACCAATGGAATTGTTTCTGGGGGGAGCCCCTTGTGGCTCCCTGAAGTTATGTTGTGGAGATGACTTCCCACTACTCAGCCACATCAGTCATCTTGAGGTTATCTTGAGAGGATTTCGGGGCTTTAGTATCCCCGCGGCCCGGTCCTCGACCAGGCCTCCACCCCCAGGAAACAGCCCGTGACAGCTGTCTAACTCCCAGGTACCTATTTACTGCTAGGTAACAGGGGCATCAGGGTGAAAGAAACATTTTGCCCATTTGTCTCCTCCTCCACCGGGGATCGAACCCGGAACCTCAGGACTACGAATCCGAAGCGCTGTCCACCCAGCTGTCAGGTGCCAGGCATCATAGGTGTGATGTTGGCCTAACACAGACCAGAATAAGTACCTGACATCCCCCCCAAAAGAGGCACATGGAGCAGGGAAATATTACGACCACCCTCACCGGGAAAACAACCAGAAAGTAAATGAGACAATACACACATCTACATACATGGATCATGAAAATGTAGCACCGAAACAGTCAATAGACAGCAAATAATTCACACAAATCAAAATGGTTCACATGAAACTAGGTATGAAACCCCCCCCCCCCCCCGAAAATGTAGTGCCGAAACAGTCAATAGACAGCAAATAATTCACACAAATCAAAATGGTTCACAATAAACTAGGTATGAAACCCCCCCCCCCCGGTGTGCAAAGATGCCAGCACATTTTATCCTAGAGCTCCTGGCTCCAAGTCCAGTGACTGCTCTGTCCTGTTGCTGATTCCAGATGGTCCACATCTGGCCTTCCCAAGTTGCCTCATTATAGCAAGTCCAACTTCTCCAAGATAAGTGCTGGCCAAGATAAGTGAGGGCCATTTTGCTAGTGTATCATTCTTAGGTTTTTAGTATTTGCTTCACAAATATTCCCTGTTTGCTGATCATGTTTCCTTGAAACATGTCTTGATAACCTGTTTCAAGACATGTTTCTACCAGGTTGTTTGCAGTGTCATTAAAGCTAGCAAGCTTGCAATCTACCCTCAGGCATACAATGTTTACAAGTTCACACCTTTGGTCTCTTGTGTTCACTAACATGTCATGGACTGATATTTGGTTTTGGGGATTTTGAAGGTTTAGCAGGGTTTTGGAGGCTCTGTATCTGGTCAGTGTTCCTGGTTCAAATTTGTTGGGTGTTACCCAGGGTCAGGTTTTCCCTGCCCAGTGTCTTGTCTTCGGATGTGTCAGTGCTGCCGCCCTCCTCCTTGGTTTCTGTCTTCTTTATGGTTAGTTAGCTTCTGGAAGCCACCAATGGGATCTCCCATAAAATTAGCATTGAATATAATGAAATGCCGTTTTCTGGTGGCTTCCTTTTTATATACAAGAGTTTTTACATTCTTGTAAAGCAACTATCACGCGTAGCATTTCGGGCAGGTCCTTAATCCTAATTTTTCTCCAGAATACGGCCCGCCAAATTGTTTAACAACAAGCTATTCATTCACTGCTTGGTGAATAGAGGCTACAGTTAAGGATTGGAAGATTGGCAGCCGGTCAATCCTCCCTGGCCAGGATACAAACCCAGTCCAAAGTGCTCGCGAAGCGCTGGGCAAATGCTTTACCAATACGCCATGAGGACTACCTGACTCCCTTAACCCCCCCCCTACTTCTCAACTAGGCATGCTCATTCATGGTCTGTTGGAGTGACCCATTGCTGGCTCGGAAGCCGGATGCTCCTCGGGCACCATCTGTTGGCAGTTTTGTACACTAGGAGTTTAAGCTAAGTTTCAAGTGAACCATTTAGATTTTAGTGAATTATTTACAGAGTCGTATGGCAGTTTCACTGTTATATTTTATGTGAATCTTGCAATTGTTTGTAAGGCTTTGCTGAATTTCTGGATGCTTTCCCAATGAGGGTGATTGGAACAATCCCCTGTTCCATGTGCCTCTGTGATGGGGGCCAAGTTTTGGTGCAGGCACCCAGTAGGCCTACAAATGCCACGGGTGATACTACCTGATAGATGGGAACTATCTTGGTGTATAGCATGAAGGACCCATTGGGGCTCACCGAGAAATTTGTGTTTCATTACGTTCAGTGCTGGATTGTGCATCAATATTTCCAGAATTGTTATACTTACACATGCTGACATTAAAATATAGTCAATTTTTAATTTAGTTTAATAATTTCATTAGCATATGATTAAATCCTATTATATTTCATTAACTAGGCTTCTTCAGTTCAACCTCTACAACTCCACTCTGGACTCTGTTGTAAGAGACAGAATTATCTTGTATGATGGTGACATATACAACTATACAACCGTGGAGTTTGCCGAGATTCATGTGAACAGCGGCAACCATATGCGGTTTTTTAAAACTGAAGGAACAAGTTTATCGCTGGAGCTGCACGCTACCGGAGCTTCTGGCGACCTTGGCTTTGTTGCTGAAATTGTCACACTTCCCATATCAGATCTTGGCATCAGTAAGTATATACAACAACAACAATACAATTTTATTTAGGTAAGGTACATACATACAATAAATATTTACAAGGATTGTTTAACTTATAGGTATAGCTAGTACATACAATGCCTAAAGCCACTATTACGCAAAGCGTTTCGGGCATGATAAACTTAAATGACAAGCTTAATACTAATTGAGCATAATATAATACTAATTGAGCATAATATAAACTATATAAACTACGTAATATTTTTGTGTTGGTCGTTGTAGTTCAGAATGGCTTATTTGCATGTGATTAATTAGAGATGTGTGAAATTTTTAATACATTATTTATTTAATAATACCAGGAATTGTTATTAAAATGTGTTATTATTTAGGAAGGAAGACAATGGACAGTTTTCAGTCTTGCCCTGCAACTTAACCAGCAACCCTCAGGCCAACATAGGCCTCCTTGTCGAGCTTGGAAAGTAGAAGACAAAAGTGGAAACAGGCATCTGAGAGACTGCACAGAATGCAAGGGAGGTGAACTATCAGGAGAAAGTGCCAAGTCATTACCACTATTTACCACTATGAGTCCCTACACACAATGAATGCAAGGGAGCGGAACTATCAGGAGAAAGTGCCAAGTCATTACCACTATTTACCACTATGAGTCCCTACACACAATGGAGTATATCATTACATTTGATGCCATATTTCGGAGCTAATGCTCCTTGTGCAGGTGCTCTTTGAGCCTACTTTCCAATGCTTCCACAGCTGCAGAAACCACAGACAGAGAGGGCAATACAATATAGGAACTCGTGCCAATCAGGAGAATAAAGTCAGCCAAGGCTACAGGGAGGACAAGCACCTAAGTGAGTGAAGAAATGTGGCACAAGAACAAGCCTGGACCAGTGAGACTAGACTAACCCGTGAAGTAACACACACAAACCCATGATTGGGAGCCGGTCAGCCGAGCGGACAGCACGTTGGACACATGATCCTGTGGTCCCGGGTTTGATCCCGGACGCCAACGAGAAACAATGGGCAAAGTTTCTTTCACCCTATGCCCCCTGTTACCTAGCAGTAAAATAGGTACCTGGGAGTTAGTCAGCTGTCACGGGCTGCTTCCTGGGGGTGGAGGCCTGGTCAAGGACCGGGCTGCGGGGACACTAAAGCCCCGAAATCATCTCAAGATCTCAAGATGGTTACTATACAAAAATACAAGCACTACAATGCCACAGGCAGAGGGCACCAGCCACCCGGTGAGATGACAAGGTGCCCCAACTCACAGCAAAAAAAAAAAAAAAAATATTAGAAATGGGGAAGCAAAAAGGTCCCAGGATGCTTGCCACATGTTAAGAAAACAGTACTGGAGGAGCACTCTATTGCCAGAATAAGTACTGGGGGGGGGGGGGATTGATGAGACTACACACACCGTGTTTGTACCCCTAAAAATTGCCAGGTAGGAAGTAGGCCAATATCCATGAGGTTCTTGAGTACCATGTTCAGCAGCAAGATAACTGCCAGCTCCACCAGTCTGAGGCAACCATGAGGTTCTTGAGTACCATGTTCAGCAGCAAGATAACCGCCAGCTCCACCAGTCTGAGGCAACCATGAGGTTCTTGAGTACCATGTTCAGCAGCAAGATAACCGCCAGCTCCACCAGTCTGAGGCAACCATGAGGTTCTTGAGTACCATGTTCAGCAGCAAGATAACCGCCAGCTCCACCAGCCTGAGGCAACCATGAGGTTCCCGAGCACCATGTTCAGCAGCAAGATAACCACCAGCTCCACCAGCCTGAGGCAAGCAGTAACACCATGATGAAGCATTACACACAGATGCAAACCCCAAGGGACAGACAGACCTGCCCACCACTAACAGGTGTGCAAGACAATGCCCCAAAACAACCCATGGCACCTGGGCAATGAGGCGAGGGCCAGCCGAGGGAGACAACTTTAGAGAACAAATGTTTTGAAGGCTGAGGGAACCAGCCAGGAACAAGACTTGGAACTGACACACAAGTACACAAACTGGGACAAAAGTTTATACCATACCTTGAGGTTACCTTGAGGTGCTTCCGGGGCTTAGCGTCCCCGCGGCCCAATCGTCGACCAGGCCTCCTGGTTGCCGGACTGATCAACCAGGCTGTTGGACGCGGCTGCTCGCAGCCTGACGTATGAGTCACAGCCTGGTTGATCAGGTATATGGTATGCCATAAAGCAGAGACTGGAGATAGGACTAAAATATTGCAATAAACCCAAACCCATGGGAAAAAATTGGAAAGGAAACCAATCACTCAGATGAGCCAGATTGAGTAAACACTCGCCACTGCAGTAACCCAATGTCCCATGAAGGTGACACCTGGCAGCCCAAGGCAACATCCAACTATACATAAAGAACACCTTGTGCACCCCAGCTATGGAGAGCGCAAGAGACTCGAGAGAAAACGGGGCAAGCTAGCCAGCAGGTAAGAGGTGCCAATAACCATTCAACCCCAGAAGTGCTGCAGGGAAGAAATGGAAAAAACAAGGCAACTCGTCCAACATATATGTTGCGGTAAGTCCAACAGAGACCAGGTATGAAACAGAGAGAGAATAATACCAAAAGGGTAACATCCAAGTGAAGCACCGAGCAAGGGGAGACAATGTACTGTGGAAGTACACCATTTCATTGTGTACTGAAGCAAAGGATGACACCATTCATAAGACAACTTCCAAGGGGCTAAAGAAACCAGGAGAAACTGCTATGAGAGGGCCTGAAAGTCTCATCCCATTAAATAAACCAAGGAAGGGGCCCGACCTCTGGTCCTGCAGCCGAGTTGTGCCTGAGACCAACCTGGTCTAAATGCATGTTGGAGAAGGTAAGAGCGGGCCTAAATCTCAGAAAGACACAGGGACGCAGAAACAGGCACTGGGCCCTGTTGGCACATGTAGAAATGCCCCAACCAAATATGTACAGTGTCATCCAGGGGTATATAGTCAGTGGCACAAGGCCCAGGAGCCTTCCTTCTTTCCTACTGCCACTGGAAAAGATAAATAAGGAGCAAGAAAATAAGAGGAAATTATTTTCCAACCTCACCCATCTAGAGCAAATCCTGAAATGACCACCAACAGGGCCACTTTACTCCCAACCCCAAACCAGGAAATGAGTGGCTGAAAGCCCTACTGCTGGCACCTCAGTAATTACTTACTAGTATTAGTGTATCCATTTCTATAAAATAGTATCATTACGTACATTACTAGATATTCCCCTCGGTAGCTCCTCTCAGATGAAGAGATGGCCATTACTGGACAGACTAGTGGCACCAAGCAGTTGTAAAACTAGTTTTCTGAAATCCAATTTGATGCTGTCCCTAGCCTGGCTGGTCTCCTCGTTTTCTACGATTCTCTTTACAGAGAAGGCAGAGGATTGGGTTTTGGCTATGACTGGTGTGGCTTTCCAGCCATCACACCCGGCGTTTCAGATGAAACCAATGCTCCATGTTCTTCGTGGGCATGAAAGGGGTCTAGGAATTTTAACCTCCTATTTCACTGCATAAGGGACCAGCTATGAAATATGAGAGGTAGGAGTACTCAGGGAATCATCTATATGTAAATGGTGTCAGCTGCTGATGGTCTGTGGTAGCAGCCAAATGGGCCAGCTACTGTGTAGTGGTAAACCAGTACTTGGTGGCATCAGGGGTTACTCCACCTTTCACTCCAGCTACTGCTGATCTGGTGTGAGAGAGGTCAACCAGCTATGACTGTGCATGGTTTGTGTACCTGGAACTAACGGAACCATACCCGAGGTAGCAACTGAGTGGCACTGTATACCTTTTGTAGCTCAGAAAGTCTACCGGTAGTTTTAACTGTTGTTGTCGGATTCATATTTTTAATAGAACTTTTACATGCCTCTATACAAAATTAATTGTTTGATATCAGAGTACAGTAATAATGTAGAATTCTATAATATTAAGAGTAGTTTAATCTGCAATTTATAACTCGGTTCATAATAAAGTTATGCACTGGGAGCTCGTATTGTGCAAATATATATTGAAAGAAGTAAGGCCTCGTATGTTGTTTTCTATTGCTGGCAGAAAAATCATCCTCATCATAGCCAAATGTAAACATATAATGAATGCTGATCAGAGGGAGGAATTCCTCAGCATGAAGAAAATCAGATTGGAAATAGGCTCTGAAAATTGGAATGAAAATGGGGTCTCAGTTTTGTACAAAAGCCAAAATTTTGCGTTCGGAACTCACTTCAGTTTTGTTTCTCTCTCTATTTAGATTAGTTTGTGTTCATACTTGTCATATATTTAAGTTGACAAACCCTGCGAATAAACATTTTCCATTCAAACAAAATATGTACTGTTGTATATATAAGAACCTGTTGCAGTACTGTTTGAGTGATTCCATACTACAAGTATATTCCTATTGCATTAACTACAGTCAGATGTATTGAACCCTTCAGAAACTTGAAATTTGAATTAGCTTTGTTTTCACACAGATCGCAATATTCTACACAACTTTACCTACAACGAATATTATGACAACGTTGAGGGTGCGTTCTTCACTGCCACCGCAGGCGAGGTGAATCCCTGGATGTGCTTGTCGTACAGCCGCATAGAAAACAACGGAAGGCAACTCTATGGGAATTTCACCACCACTAGAGCAGCAGTGTATCTAGATCTGCAGAATATGCAGGATATTTATTTCAAGGTTTGCAATGATAACATTTATTTTATTGGTTTGTGGATGAGTTGTTGATTATCTATCTTGTTCTACATGTAGGTTAAAACAATTTATTTTCTTGAAATTTTTAAAAATTTTGTGCACACACGCAATTCATGATTTATACAAAAAAATATTTGTATGATGTATTAATCTGATAGGCTTTATTTTTACCAATAAATCCTTTATTAGATATTAATCAATGTTACAAATTTGAGTGTTGATAATATCAACAGAATAATTTAGTGCGCAACAATACTGGAGGTGTTTACATCATGGCTGGATCTATGGGTGCTGCTACCAAACTACAAGCCAATGTCACCAACAACCTGTTCGAAGAAACACTTCACTGGCCGTCCTTATATATAGCCACCAGGGAAAACTCAGCGTATCAACATGCGCTCATTGCTTACAATGACTTCAGTTGGTCGTATTCACCGTACCATGATGTCATCACTTTAGCTCAGGTAAGAGGCTGTTAATTACTGCTTATATTATTATGAACACTTGTAAAATGTGTGTGTCATTGGGAATCAGGGAGGTAAAGTCGTCATTTTCATTGCGACTAACCTATTTCCCAATTTCATGGGGGTAGGGAACCATTAGCCCAGAATAAATTGTGGGGAATATAAAATGGAAAATAAAGCTATAAATAAGATGCTACATCCATCTGCCGTAAGTTCCATATTACATATGACCAACACTGTCACAAGAAGGGTAAATACTGAATTATTCTACACATATGAACCCTGTTGCCAGACCATGTCCACATGACATGCACAAAGTTAAGAATGTTGTCACAGTTATGAGAGTGGAACATGATATTAATGAGGTGCTTCTAGCCTATTACCTGGCCCAGATGAATACATTTAATAATAATAATAATAATAATTCCTTGTGTTTGGGGACAGGAAACCAGAGTGTATTTATCCAAGGTAGGCTTTTTAATTGAGATCCCCATTCAAGGTCAAATTACTGACCCCCTTCCCCCAGGATGCAATCCCACAAGCAGACCACCTCCTGAGTACCTACTTACTGCTAGGTGAACAGAGCATTAGGTGACAAGAAATGTGCCCAACCATTTCTGTCCCGCCCAAAATTTGAACCTGGAATTCTAAATTGTGCGACGAGAACAAACCTGACTGTACTACCGGGACCCTTAATGCAAGGTTTGTCATTTGATCAATGACAAACCTTCATAGTCATTAAAGTTTAAGTTGATTGCAACGATATAACAAATTTGAGCCATCAGTAATACAGTGGATTTGTTAATGATGTTGTGTACAGCTCTGGCAACACTGTGAACCTGGCAGCCATTTGTCTAGTGATAAACAAACCTTTTATAGTTTTGGTTCTAATGTTACATGTCTATTGAAAGATTTGTAAACATTTCACCATGTTCATAATGATATCTTTGTTCTCTTGGTGATTGAACTTTGTATGGTCATAGGACTGTGCAGTATATGCATATACTGTACACACATGATTTGTATAAAGGTCTCACCATGCTTTTATTTGTAACTGAGTAATAATTGCATCTTTCAGGTGGTATCCGAGTTCACTCATAATTACGTACATAGTAATATTGGCCGACACATTTTGGATATTTACGGGTTTCAAAAAGTTCGTCTTCCTGTATACCAAACTACATCTCACAACAGTCTTGCCAAGTAAGTGCCATTTATAATTTACCTTATTTGCCTGTGCTCACTGCTCAGCCCCCTACATTGGGCTGGTATCCTTTAAGACATGATTTAGTGAACAAAATATTTGTAATTGTCTGTAATGCAGGAGAGTCAAGTGTTTCAATGAAGTCTGCACTTGCCAATTCCCTGACATTCATGTGCGCCTGTGCCAGTGCCAAAAAGCAAATCCTAGCCGATATAAAATGCCAACCCAGCTGTGACACGAGTGAAAAACTTGAGAGAGGGCTCCAGAGGCAAGCAGATCACTAAAACAATAAACAGCAGCAGAGTCCTCAAAGCTGAAGATGTCACGCTGATCCCTGATTCATCAATATGCATGCAAGCTGAGCAACCTCCTGAGCTCAACCCTGGAAACAAACTGTAACGGTCTCTATTTTCCACTTGTTACAACTTGTATTAAAGTTGTTACATCTTGGCCTAACATGTTTATGACGTATAAGAACGTTGTTACAACTTGCTATATTGGTTGTTGTAACTGGTTAGGAGGTGTTAAAACTTGTTCGAACGTTGTACCAACGTCGTAGTTTCGGTATATTTGGCGGGAATGAGCCAGACTCATCCCAGGGTAACACAGACAAATTTGAGCCAGCTGGTGAGACTTTAACCTACCTTATGCACGATAAATCACTTTTCCATAAACGTGGTCAAAATGAGAAATATGCCAATGCAAGAAGGCCTCAGGAAGGGAGATGGTGAGCGTTTGTTTTCTTATAAAATATATGCTTATTTGAATTATTATATTTTAATGGGCAAGGTATGAAAATATAGTTCTTGTTTAACTTTTCTTTAATACTGTATGTATATATATATATATGTATAGTAAAGCTTTATGCAGTTTATAAATGCTGAGTTTTGTGAGCAAATAGTATTTACTGAGGCATTGTAATGATTTGTTAATACAATCAAGGCAGGTTATATGTGAATCATTTTGACATGTGTAACACTTACACTGAAGTAGTCATGACTATTTGAATGTGTTGCCATCAGTTTCATTTTTTTTTCCAAATACTATATTAAAAATCATGAGAGGTTTTATTTCTATAATTGTTAAATATGGACTATGCTGCTATAGGCCCAGCATGTTAGAGAGTTGTTACTCCCACTCCAGGAACCTGGCGGTAGACCCGACCTACCAGGGCACCATCATAGCGGGCAGCGCCGGCCAGCAGTTTGTGGAAAATGTTTTCTACAATTGGGACAACGCTTATGAACTTGTTGCTGTTAATGAGTCTATGTAAGTTTCAGCACATCACTTTGTATAATTTTTGGAAAAAAATGGTGTTAGTTAAAATTTTTGTGATATTTTGAAAGTATAGTACAGTTGTTCATATTTAGCATATCAGAGTGATTAAGCTCAGGAAAACAGACTGATAATAATTTGTCTATGTACTCAAAGATATTGGTCATGCACTCTATATGCCTAGGGCCAGATTCACGAAGCAGTTACGCAAGTACTTACGAATGTGTACATCTTTCCTCAATCTTTGTCGGCTTTGGTTACATTTATTAAACAGTTTACAAGCATGAAAACTTGCCAATCAACTGTTGTTATTGTTATAAACAGCCTCCTGGTGCTTCGGAGCTCATTAACTGTTTAATAATTGTAAACAAAACTGCCAAAGTTTGGGAAAAGATGGACAGATTTGTAAGTGCTTGTGTAACTGCTTCGTGAATCTGGCCCCCTAGTTTTTTAATTTTTCTCAGCTATTAATATAGCAGGACAGTATTTTCAAATGACACTGAGCATTGTGTAGTTTGTATTCAATATAGCAGAAGCTGTATCTCCTGACACAACACTATACGAGTCTTATTTAGAAACTGTCCGTGGAGTAATTTACTGATAAAAGTAATGAGCTAAATTACTGTTTTATCCTAAGCCATCTTAAAAATTTATACACATTTTATATTTTCAAAAATTTTCTAAATCCAATTTGTATAGTGAAGAAAACAGCCTGCATTATATTATAAATATCTAATCACTTGACTTTATGCACATCGCACGCCCTCTTGACTGACTACGCACAGGTCGGGACTCCGTAGGTAAGATCATATCCACCCAAAATGGACAGTAGCATTGCATGTTCCAATATTTTCAGTCTGCTTACGGATGTTGCTACATGGTTGACGGCAAAGGAATAGTTGAAGCCTTTGCTGTCTTTCTTTACACAGTGGAGAGCACTGAAGGAACACCTAACTTGAATATACAACAGTAGATACGTTCATTTCTTGATTTTAAATTAACACTTTCCCACACGTTTAATATTCTGATGAGAATGGGATCTTTTATTTGAAAATGAGAATTTGTTTTAAATACAACAAATATTGAAAGTAACATAACTTCTGATTTACGTGCTATCCTAGCAGGATAATATATCTAATAAATCCTGCTTGCCTAGTAAGTACAGCAATTGTAAATGTTCTTTTATTTATAAATAATACAAAATCATATAAGCTGCTGTAAAGGATCAGACTGCTTTTATATTATTAATGTAGAGAGAAGCAATTGATATTGTATTCAGTGTTAAAACCAGATAATGTATGAATTCTCTGTGGCCAAGTTTTATTCCAGTCATTATTTATCTTGGTAATGAAAAATAAGACTGAATTATTGCACCTGTATAGGAATAAATTAGTTTTGTTTTACAGTACCTCAAATGGGAATAATAAAATAAGGTTTCCCGTCCCTCTTAGAGAGTCAGATGCTTATGCAAATGATGGTAGATATTTTACTGTGAACTATGTACAGCATAAGCATGGCTTCAGTTGTATTTGAGACCTCTCTATAGTACTGTATACCTCTTTTGGCTACTTTCACTCACTAACTTTTGTTATATCATTAACTTTTGCTATACTATTAGTAGCACTGAGAGAGACCCAAACAACAGAGCCTCGTGGCCACATCACCAGTAGTTTAGCATGGATTAGTCGGTACTGATAGTTTTCTTGAGCTTTGAAAAGTGCATGTGTATTGATGAGCGCACCACTGCATGCTTGCTTATGGATTACAGACGCTGCAACATTTCCACGGAATGCTCGCAAGTGGATATCTACGATGACTTGGTCGATGAGAGGTTAGTAGTTTCTTCATGCAGAGCAAAGCACCAATCAGAGGAGGTGTTAGTGGTTGAAGTACACACACACACATATGTGCCATTAACTTGATTAACCCTTGAGAGAACAGTAGTTATTAGAGGGATTACAATTTCTGGAAGAACAAAATTTCACTTACTGTACATGAACTAAAATGTAAGAAGTGACAAATTGACATGACTATGCACAATGAAGTGAGAGCTAGACTTGCACAGATAATACAATGTCATTACTGCAATCCTGCATAATGTCATTATGAAAGATTTTTCTCATATCCAAACATTATAGTGTGAATTTTCCTCAATTAAAATTGCTATTTGTAATACATAAAAGTTTTAAACTAAAATCTGAAATAACTAAAACTTTTAGTTTACATTATAGAAAGTAGCTTAGTCTATTATTTATAAACTGAAAACAGAGTGTGTCAGGACACTCAACTCACAAATCTGAATATAAAATTATTTCAAACATTTCAGTGTGTCCTTGACTATTATCAAGTTGAGCATTTACCGCACTCCATAATGGTCCAAGATGGACCAAAATGCCATCAATTCCTATATTGTCAAATTTATGGGATGAGTGTAATTTTGAGCCATATTATTGTGATTTATTGTCTGCAGTAGCAGAGTAGTTTGTTCATTCCCTGTATTGATGTCTCATAGAATAATATCAGAAAGTAGTAATGAGCACTGATCTCTTTTTGTAAAACTAAAGTAGAAGCAACAAGATGGCCTTTGACTAGGGAGTGAGGCAGGTGTGAGGAGGCGAGGTGGCGAGTGAGGCGTACGGCTCCTCACCTTCCCCTCCAAAAGGCTATGTGGGGGTGTCCACTCGGTAAAAATGTTAAGCAGTGTTTTCCTGTCGCATTGCTTAGAATGTGTTAAGATCCTTGATTGGTGGGACGGTGGCAGCATTTAGTATTAAGTATTTCTACCTCTTTCAGTTCCTGCTCCTCATCCTTCTTTCTTCTCTCCGCTTCCTCTGACTCCCTCCTACCCAGCCAATCCTCCGTTTTCTAGTCTCTCCCTTCAAGTCTCCCCTCCACGTCCCTGTTTTCTATACATTCCACCCTTCTCTCACTCCTCTCTTCATCACCTCATTCCTTACTATTTCTTTATTTACTCTGTATTCCCTTCACACCACTATCAAGGAGTAGACAATAACCATCCCTGTTACAGCCCCTTCCTGGGTGGATGGGGTTGGCTCGGCCAGTTTTTTCCCATGTTCTCGTTCATGGGCATTTTGTTTTGCCATTAGTCTGCATTATCTGATCAGCCTTTTCCTCTTTTGGGGGGTTTTCCAGGTTGGCTTCCTTCCCTTCGTCTGTTTTGGACCACTTTGGCATGGGCTTTTCTGGGGTTGGTTGTGGTGACCTGGCCTTCAGTATTTGCAGCTGTCCTGGCTTTTCTTTTGCTCTGATCCAACTGCATTTTTCTGCAGTCAGTCGCCTTTGCAATGTTCTTGTGCCTGGTTCCCTGGGCGTCTTGGATGCAGCCATCTTGGCTCGTCTGTTTTTTGGTTGAGATTCGGGGATTTTGGTCTTTTGAGGTGGGGCGTTTGACCTTGCCGCCTACAGGATGCTTTTCCCATTTGGCCTTTTGACTCCATATGTTCGTACGCTTGGCTCAGGTCTCTCTGACTCATCTCAGCCCTGGTTGTCTCAGCAGTTGCTTGGATGCTTGTGGTATTCTGTAATGTGGGCTTCTCTTTGCTTGGTGGCACCACATTTGTTTGGGGCAGGCTGTGTGTGCCCTGGCTGGCCGCTGCATCGCTGGTATCCTTGGGCCTTCTAGGCTCCTCCAGGTGTCATCCTTGGCCTTGTGTGGCTTGGGTTTTGGGGCTGGTGGTTTACAATGCTGTGTGAGGAAGGGGGGTGGCCCTGGTTCTGGCCCTTCTGGGCTTTCGGGGTTTGGTGGTCTGTCTCGTGTGTTTTGACGGAATACTGGTTTAACATGTGGAAGATTTGGATTTCATTTCCATTGATGAGGCAGGAAGCCTGTGAAGCTAAGGTCTCCCTCATTCAGTGACTGACCTTTCCTGGGATGCAACCCATAACAGTTTCCTAACTCTCAATTAACCTATTTAACTCATAGCTGAGCAAAGGTATCCAGTGTAAGAAAATGTTTGCAAATGTATCCATTCCCTATGAAAAGCAAACCTTGAACCTTTCACTTGTGAACCTACTGTGGTTACAACTACATTACAGTATTTCTTTGCTCACTTTTGTTATAACGCTGCTGTTTCAATAATTATCAGCCTAGAAGTTAGTGAACTTGTCTGCTTATACATTCAGCACACAGTTCTGAAGTCAGATTTTGGCTGTACATGTAGGTTCTTTTGCCTTTTCAGTCTTGGTTACATATCCACTTTCTGATACACTAAGAGGGGGCATGTTTGAGAACGTGTGTTTAATTTTGGTTCATTGATAATACACAAACTGTATTATATTGCTCTGGTTAATCAAGTTATTGGTTGCTATAAATAAGGTCAAATCCAATTCAGGAAGTTACTCTTATAAATACTACTGTAGTTCAGCATTTAAATGTAATAATTATAAGCTCTAATTCTTATGAGGGTTTGTGTGCTTTCACTAACTTATTTGTTCATGGCAGCTGTGGTTCTACTAACAAATACTGTAATGTCAAAAATATTTTGTTTTGAAAGTGCATTTGTTGAATGTTTTATTTCACAAAATTCTGAAAATTAAGTAGGCATAATAAAACTAATATTTTCCTAAATTAGTATTATTATTGATAGAGAAAATCAACTAGGGGCTATGAGGTAGTGCGAACCTGTGACCCAGGCATTGCCAGCCGCATCCTCTACCACTACACCACCGCTAACTTGTAGGTCATACAACAAAATTTCTACTGAAATCACAGGAAATCCGGTTGTATGACTTAGACAAGACACGGTGGTCCAGTGGTAGAGTACGAGGCTGACAATGCCGGGGTCGCAGGTTCGAGCCCACCTCACAGCCCTGGTGGATTGTCTCATTGATTTATATATCACGTTAATGTGATTTGTGAGTATTATTGTTATTATTATACACAGCCTGGTACATTATAATGGAGTTGCTGAAAGTAAGGAAAGAATAGTGGTATAGTAAATGATAGAGATCATGTGTGAGCTGTTCTCTACAGGATTAAATTAAAAATAACACTACATATTAATTACTTCGTACTTTAGTTTTAAGCTGTTTCTGTAAATTTGATTGCATGTTAAATACACATACAAAGTGCACAATAATTGCAAGATTAATCCCTAAAATTATATATGTAAGCAAGCACATTTTGTCTTGATTAAATTTTAAATTGTATCATGTTCTGCACACGTTCACTCGCATAACGTACAGTTCAGTAGAACAAAGATTTTTGTTATCTTCATACACCATCTCCAAAACTAATATTGGCAAATATAACGGTGTGGTGTAATGAGTAAATACTTTACCAATGTGTAATTGTGCAAACTGCTTGGGTTCACAGATCAGATGTGTGGAAAACTCCGATTGATGCCCAGAACAACTGGTGGGGCTTTAATACCTCAGTTGCTGTGTCTGGCCGGATCCACGATAAAACGGACGACGACACTCTCCTTCGTGTTGACTACAGGTATGATGGAATAGAGTATAGTAGATTTAATTTTGTAGTTATATATTGAATTGTTTATGAAGTGTATCTTCCCATTGTTATGGCTTCTGATTGAAAACAGAATTATGTACAATGTTCAATTGGGTCTTTATTTCATAGCTAGTTTTGTCCATACAATTTGTTTAATTTTGAGAAAATAAGAACCTCGTATCTTCTTGGGTTGTTTACTCCAACAAAAAACTGTGCTCTCCTATAAGTACTATCAATTATCAACATCAGGTAAAAATATAAGTAATTGAAAACAAAAAGAGAATCAACATAATATGAACTAAATAATACAAATCACACTTTCCTAACAGATTTTATGTTACATGATAGCCGGTGCATTTGCCATACTAGCATTTTGTGACTAGCCAAATTATGACTTTGTGGGTCATAAATCAATACATTTCTGATAATTTATAAATCTTGAACAGTATTACATTTAAAGAGGGACTGGTAAACAGCAGGAAACAAATTAAGTAGCAGCAACTATAAATTATGTCAGTTATAGATGGAATTGTTGAACATACTGTTAACAATTGTGCTAGGAATATACAGTATAACAGAGAATAAGCAATACATATATGAGTGGTGGTCAGCCGTATGAGACAGTCAGGGACCACATTTGAAGGGGTTAAATAAACCAACTGAAACATGAAATAGAAGTGATAATATTTTGGTCTGTCCTGGACCCTCGTCAAGCCAAAACCCTTATCAGTTTCGACTTGATGAGAATCCAAAATGGCATGAAACTTTCTTACTTTTCTTTCATTTCATAGTGTTGGTTGGTTCATAGTTACTTGAGAAACTGAGTGATGTAAGACTTTGCTCAAAAGAGAGCAGGACAGGTTCAATATTGGGAACAAATTTTTTACGAATCAAGAACTGATAAGTTAACTGACAGGGATAAGTTAACATTAAAAAAAAACAAATACTTGGGACCAAAAAGGCTTTAATTCAAGAGGTGTGGACTTGCTCTCCATGCACCAGTGAATGGAAAAATAAGGAAGGTGCAAATCCTAAGGAAAAGTGCATAATTGTGAAGGGAGGGTTACCTGGTTGATTCCTGGTTGATGGGGTTCTGGGAGTTCCTCTACTCCCCAAGCCCGGCCCGCAGGCCAGACTTGATTTGTGAGAGTTTGGTCCACCAGGCTGTTGCTGGGAGCGGCCCGCAGGCCAGGCTTGACTTGTGAGAGTTTGGTCCACCAGGCTGTTGCTTGGAGCGGCCCGCAGGCCAGACTTGACTTGTGAGAGTTTGGTCCACCAGGCTGTTGCTGGGAGCAGCCCGCAGGCCAGGCTTGATTTGTGAGAGTTTGGTCCACCAGGCTGTTGCTGGGAGCAGCCCGCAGGCCAGGCTTGACTTGTGAGAGTTTGGTCCACCAGGCTGTTGCTTGGAGCGGCCCGCAGGCCAGGCTTGACTTGTGAGAGTTTGGTCCACCAGGCTGTTGCTTGGAGCGGCCCGCAGGCCAGGCTTGACTTGTGAGAGTTTGGTCCACCAGGCTGTTGCTTGGAGCGGCCCGCAGGCCAGGCTTGACTTGTGAGAGTTTGGTCCACCAGGCTGTTGCTTGGAGCGGCCCGCAGGCCAGGCTTGACTTGTGAGAGTTTGGTCCACCAGGCTGTTGCTGGGAGCGGCCCGCAGGCCAGGCTTGACTTGTGAGAGTTTGGTCCACCAGGCTGTTGCTGGGAGCGGCCCGCAGGCCAGGCTTGACTTGTGAGAGTTTGGTCCACCAGGCTGTTGCTGGGAGCGGCCCGCAGGCCAGGCTTGACTTGTGAGAGTTTGGTCCACCAGGCTGTTGCTTGGAGCGGCCCGCAGGCCAGACTTGACTTGTGAGAGTTTGGTCCACCAGGCTGTTGCTTGGAGCGGCCTGCAGGCCAGACTTGTGAGAGTTTGATCCACCAGGCTGTTGCTTGGAGCGGCCCGCAGGCCCACATACCCTGGGACAATCAGGAGAAAATGCCAAGCCATTATGATTTTGTAGCACTTGGTATAAGAGTTGGACCCTTATGAAGTGTTTAACTCTTGAATTTAGATTGTGATTGAAAACAGATTGGAACTGCAGTGTTAAATGTTGAAAAACAGTCTGGAACTTTGTAAGACATAAGGCATAGAATTCAGTTAAACCTGTGAGGCAAGATTTACCATCACTGAACCGCATGCTGGTGGCGTGTTACAAAGCTATTTCTCTCCAAATGTTCTACAAGCCTTTTCCTCACAATCTTCTCCATCACCTTGCATAGTATACAAGTTAGAGAAATTGGCCTGTAGTAAAGTGCCTCTTGCCTGTCACTACTTTTTGTATATTAGGACTATATTAGTTGTCTTCCAACTTTCCGGTTGGTCTCCTGTTTCCAGTGACCTTTTATACACTATAGAGAGTGTGGCACACTTAGTGCTTCTGCACTCTCTTTTAGTATCCATGATGAGATTCTATCAGGCCCAACAGCCTTTGTCACATTCAGCTCCAACAGATTCCTTTTGACCTCATCACTGGTGAGCTCAAATTCCTCCAAGGTTGCTTGGTTTACCTCCTCCTCTCTTAGTACAAGGGCTTCTCCTTGCTCTATCGTGAAGACCTCTTTGTGAAGCCTGTTGTTCAACATTTAACACTGCAGTTGCTATGCATTTTTAATCACAATCTTATTTCAAGAGTTAAACATACTGAGGTAAACACTTCAGAAGGATCTCTCTCTTAAACTCTCACAAGTCAAGCCTGGCCTCGGGCCAGGCTTGGGGAGTAGAAGAACTCCCAGAACCCCATCAACCAGGTATCAACCAGGTACACTGGAATTATAAGGATTTGGGATACAATAGGGGGAAGGAATGGTGCCCAACCATTTGGATGGTCAGGAATTGAATGCCTACCTGCTTGAAGCGAGACTGTCGCTCTACCGTCCAGCCCAAGTGGTTGGGCAGATAATTGAGAAGGTAGGATGGCATGTGACTTGGAGTTCAGGAAGAGGGCCAGCACTCTGTAAGTTCTTGCATTACATTCCTGTAAAGCCACTAGCACACACACATTGTTTCAGGCAGGTCCTTAATCCTAATATTTTCCCCTGGAATTCGACCCACCCAATCATTTAACAACCAGGTACCCATTCACTGCTGGGTGAACAGAGGCTACAGTTAAGGATTGGCACCCGGTCAATCCTCCCCGGTCAGGATACAAACCCAGGCCAAAACGCTTGCGAAGCACCGGGTGAGTATCTTACCACTGTGCCACGGGGACTGCGTGGCGCAGCCCCCACAGTCCCCAGTCAGCAGGTGAGTGAGGCAGTAAGCGTGGCAAAGCTTCAGGCTGGCATAGGGTATTTAAAAGGCGGGGAAATATGTAAGACATTACCAAACAAAGGTGTTAAGTCAATACAGTTAGCATTGTCTTGTGTAATTGTGGTAACACAATGGACTAAAGCCTTTTGCATACCTGTACAACAGTAGCCATTGTATTAGGCCCAGAGGTGAATTATGTGATTGCTCAAAGTTTATTTTTATTTGTAAACAAAAAAATTGGCTAAATAAATATTAATCTTTATTCATTTAGCCTATTTCTATTTTAATATTTTTCAGACTGGAGAAATTTATTACTAGCTTAAAATTTACCATTTGACAGTGACTAGTTAATAATAAATAAAATAATAAATGTTTATTTAGGTAAGGTACATACATACAAGAGATTTTACAAAGATTGATGGATTTATAGATAGAGCTAGTACATACAATGCCTAAAACCACTATTACGCAAAGCGTTTCGGGCATGTTTTAAAACATGTAGTTTTTAGATAATAAATATCACTACTTTCTAAATCAATATCTAATAAAAACTAATTGACAATAAATATTTGAGATATATACAAGAGTTGTTACATTCTTGTATTTCTCAACAGTCAGTGGAAGCTAAATAACTACTCATTGCTACAAGGATGTGAGCCTGGCTACACGAGAATTGGCGATGCTTGTTATCTTTACGTTGGTGCTCCAGTCACACACGAAGAAGCTAAGGCATTCTGCAAGAAGGACAATGCTTCTCTGCCCTTCCTACAGAAGTGGTACTGGGAAGTACAGGTAATGTTCCTATGTTTATCTCCCAAGCTGACATATATGAAAGATATGAAAGCCAATATATGAAAGCCATCAGTATGATATAAAATATTTTCTGGCAGTTGGAGATGAGAGTATATCCTAGTAATTATCTTAATATGTTGTCCACTCTGGTGATTTGGGAATGACTACATATAGAATCATTGCCAAATATTTTGGCCAAGGACCACATGTGGTAGTCATTATTATATTGTTATTAATAATGATACTACAACATAATATACTCTCCCCTGCTGTAAGGGTGCTGCCTTATGGTATAGAGGGAAGAGGAAGAAGGGCTTGCATACTTTGCTAATTCAGGAGGCAGTTGAGTGTGGTTTATGAAGCTCTTGTAGCCAAAGGGTAGCAGTCATAACAAGTTTACCATATTTTTAGTACATGTCTGAATGTTACCGAGAGTAGCATGTAGTGAGGCTTGAGAAGTTTAACCTGGCACAGCTTCCATGATGCAACAGGGAGAGCTCTGTCATCATCCCATAATTGTTGTCTCTGATGTAGCACGTTCTCACACTTTTAACTCTAATCTTGACCCCACACTTGAGAATACTTACCTAACCTTCACATCTCTCCACTGGGGCTCTCCACGTCACTGTCACATCTATGGTGGTATCATCATACACGTCATCAAGGGACAGTTACAGTAAAACAGTCTCACATAATCTCTAACAACAAAACTATGGCTCTCTTCTTAACAGCAGAAAAACTAAATTTACCATTATCTCGCTTTTGCTTCATAAAATCAAGCACAATGAATTGTTTTGCTGAGATTGGACCAAAAAGTGGAAAGAATATTTGAATTTGGAAACACAGATAAAGCTATATGTAGTTATCAAATTCAGAAATTGTATGCTGAACTCATGAAGCTCAAAAGTATTACAATAATGTCATGTTGCCATGTGATGATGTACTTGGATACTATAGCACATGCTTTGGTGACACTGGCCAAACTACCACTTTGCTTATTTGCATCTTTTCTCACTTTCAAGGTACATATTGTAGTTTATTTTGCTTTGTACTTTCTGGGTACTTTTACTCGGTTATGAGGTTGATCTTGGATGTTCATGCTCCCCCTCATCACAAAGCTCACCAGATACTTGTCCTGGTGTCCAGTAGGCCTGCACAAGTCCAGAGCCCTTGTAGTTTCTTAGGATATCTCTGTGGTACTCGGTAGTTACCATTGCCAATGCACTGGCGCTGCTACTGAGTACATTGCACTGGGAAGCTACTGAGGCTACCTATAAAAGGGAGTTTGGTTACATGTGTGTCAGTGACTTGCAACTATGGAGGGAGGTGTGCATGGATTCTCATTAAGCGATTCTTGACCATTACACACAGAAATCACAATTGCGTGATGCATCAAATGAACAAATCCACAAGGGCCGTGACGAGGATTCGAACCTGCATCCGAGAGCATCCCAGATGCTGTCTTAATCGATTGAGCTACGACATGGTCTAAAGGAGTTGAAACCGAAGTTCTACTGAACTTACTGGATCCTGCAGCCTCTGCAGGATCCAGATTTGTTCATTTGATGCAGGATTTGTGGATTTGTTCATTTGATGCGTCATGCAATTGTGATTTGTGTGTGTATTTTAGGATGTGCATGGATGGGGACATGTGCCTACACAACCCAGTCGCCTGATTTGACAAGCATCAAATTTTAAGTGATTTTGCCTAACCAAAAGAGCTTGAACTTAAAGGTCCTAAGTTGTTGACTGGAGTTGTCATTTTTAATTAATGTTTGATGAAATGAAATATTTTTGTTTTAATATTGTTTGATGACTTATTTAGGGAATAAAATCAGCATTGAAAATAATAAAATGCCAATTTCTGAGGAAGCCCCGGTGGCTCCCTGAAGCTACCATCTTCAATGTAGGTGCCATCTACTAGGTGCCATCAGTTGCAGAGTTCTCTGGCGTACCAAGGTCACAGTGCCAGAACCTGGTTCCATCACATAGGCGCTGGGAGCTAGGTCATTTGTATTTTAAGTTATTCATTTATGCCACCACCAAGGGAAGCATCCAGAAAGTCAGCAAAAGAAAACAAACCACCAGGTTTGTTTTGAGGGGGACCAGGTTCTGGTGCTGTGACCATGGTATGCCAGGGAACTTGGCGACTAATGGCACCAAGTAGTTGCAGGCGATGAGTCACAATAACGTGGCTAAAGTATGTTGACCAGACCACACACTAGAAGGCGAAGGGACGACGACGTTACGGTCCGTCCTGGACCATTCTCAAGTTCGACTTGAGAATGGTCCAGGACAGACCGAAACGTCGCCGTCCCTTCACCTTCTAGTATGTGGTCTGGTGAAATTACCTAGTAGTTGCCACCTGCATCGGAGAGAGATGGTAGCTTCAGGGAGCCACAAAGGGCTCTCCCCCAAAAAATGTTGGATGTAGATATTTTGAATGACAATTATTAGCGTGAACTTCCCAAAACTGCAGATACAAACCCAGTGAAGAGGAAGGGTTTGTTTTACTTGTATTTGAACTTTGTTTTGAGGTATTTCATACGGTAATTAAGAGGTTTGATCTGTCATTTTTGGTGCAGTACTGGCTGTTTGACCAGCAACCTGAGTACTTATGGGAGTATGACATGGTGTGGGTGCAGCACTTAGATGTCATCAGTGGATGTGCAGCCTTTGTCTACAGACAAGTTCGTTCCGTTGACTGTAACCTCAATCTTCCCTTCATCTGTGAATCAGGTAAGATGTTATATAAAATGCTTCAGTAAATGTGTTCTAGTATTTACTTATACTCTACATATAGTCAGAGCTTAAATTAGCCATGGGAGGGGGGGGGGGTGGAGGATGGCGGGGTAAGTGGGAGAGGAAGATAAGAAGCAATTCTTAAATGCAAAAATTTTCTTCACACTGCTATTTATTTATTTATATACAAGAAGGTATATTAGGGATTAAGAGAGAACATAGGAATGATGTTAATATTACAATCTTGTAAAGCCACTAGCAAGCATAGCGTTGCGGGCAAAACTATTGAAACTTGCATCTATACCCTTGCTTGACTTTGAAGCAAGACGTACCTTGTCTATCTAAAATATATAATTTAACCATTGTGTGTAACACTATAAATATCACTCATGAAAACACACATGGATGTAAACATATTTACATATGGGTACCACCTCTGCTGCAATTGTGGGTATGCTGTATAAATAAAATTTAAGGTGGTATAAGAAAATATGGAACTAGTGTTTAGAGAGAATATACAAGGATTTCTCTGAATACTTATTTTCATAATACTGTATATAAATTCACATAAATGTGCTAAAAATGTAATGTAAACTGAAAATTATGATTTAACTGTTATTTGCTTATTTTTGGCTCACAGACCCCGACAAAACAATTGACAAATTCGCCTGGACCTCTGACCCATTGGCTGTGGCGGCCATAACTGTTACTTTTGGCTGCTTGATCCTCGTAGCTGCATGTGTCTCGTGCTGGGTTTGTAAATCACGAGAACGGCGCAAGGAACGCATAATGCGAAGAAACTCCATTCGTGCATCCATTCGTTCTAACAGATCTGCCATGTCAACTGCCAGTGGTAGCTTCAGTGATATTGGTCACACAAGAATCATTGAGGTTGGTCTTAAATGTGTTGCATAAAACTTACATGTAATAATAGTCAGTAAGAGTGGCCATGTGTTCAACAGTTGTCAGGTAACATTACATATGGTTTATACACAAAGTTGAAGGTCAGGTGTTTTGGTTCTTTACACAATTATTTGTATTAGCAGTTAATGAAGCATTTAGAGGTGTGCTCTTCACACATTGGCATTGTTAGAGAAAAGCTCCAACATAATCAGTCAGGAGTTTTGCATAAATAATTTTTTATTCAGTTTCATTGCTCATAAATCTAGAAAGAATACCATGACACTAGGACTCCTACCTGGCCGAAGAACTGAACTTTAATGTCATGGTTTGAGAGGTCAGATTGTCATTACCAAACTTACTAACAGTGTAAATTATAGCTTTTAATACTGTTAAGTAAATATCTTAATAAGCCATGTGCCATGGCTCGGTCTCTGACCAGGCCTCATGGTTAGTGGTGGGATAGACACAACTGCTAGCAGTCTCATGTATGAATTACATCCCGGTTGATCAGGTATCCTTTGGACGGGTTTTATTAAGTTCAAGTTTGAACAGCGAGAGGAGTTGACTAGTTATTCCCCTTAAGTTTTGAGGGAGGGTGTTGAAAAGTACTGTACAGTACTGTATATAGAATTGTCTCTTAGCGCACCTATTACACTTCTTCTTTTCAAAATCTCTAATTTGCACTTTTAGCTATGCCTCCTGGTCTCGTGAGAAGTTATTTGTGTGCAGATTTGGAACAAGTCTCTAATATTTTCCAAGTGTAAATTATTTTTCATCTTTCTTACTTGCACTCCAATGAGTACAGATTTAGAAATTTTAAGTGGTCTCAATAACTTAGATGTTGTATTGTTCAACATCAGTAAATGCAGGTAGACAGGCAGGCAGGTTCAGGCAGTAAAAAGAATGTTTCTCTGCACATTCTCCAGGTCAGCAGCTTTTCCAGTTTTGAATGGGGCTGTTATTGTGCACAAATATCGTGCACCCTAAAGAGCAATGGCGTGTTCAAAAGAACCATCATTAGTCTGGCATCTCTTGCAGATGTGACAGCTACTTTCTGTTGCCCATTTAATATCTGGTTTACATCAGTTAGGAGGTTTGCTGTTCTCTGGAGTTTCTACTCTTATCAAAATCCTGGTGCCATCTGCAAAGGATAATACAAACAATGTTTGTGTCTTTTTCTGTGTCTGATATAAAATGATTATCACTTTATTTATGCCATCTTAATTAGTAAGTCACTATCTGCCACACATTCCTTTCACTTATTTACCTGAGGGCCACCATCTCTCTCCATTCTCCGTCTTACATTGTCGCTTGTTGCGCTTGAAGCCGCTGCTTCTTGTCTGTGTTACATCTGACCTTTTGAAAAAGTGGTCTGGATCAATATCCTCCAATTCGTTCAGTATCTTAAAGGTCTCGATGAGATCAGCCCTGACATGCCTGGTTTGCAGTGTTGTTACTCCTGTGGCCCCCTCAACCGTTCCTGGTATGAGAGTCAACTTAGTTCTGGTATGATTTGTGTTGCCCGGTGTTGCACCCTCTCCAGAGCAGATACTGTATGTCCTTTTTAAGGTGAGGTTTCCATGCTTGGATAAGGTAGAGCATTTACAACTACTGTATATCAGTGTCTGGTACAGTATGCATTTCCCTTGGGTGTGCTTTTGTACTTACTGCAATGTATTGTACTACTGTAAGGGGGGCATGAGCTTCTAAGCTGTACCCCTAGAGTACAAACGATGAAACCCCGTCCTTACTGCATAGAATACAAGGAAAATCTAGAGTCTGCTCTATAATAACCCTTATAGTCAAGCATGTGTACCTTGGAGAGGAACGCACTCCTAGGGGCCAGACAACCAGGGAAAATTCTAATATGTCACTACAAAGGGTTTTATCTCTAGATCTTAAAGTTACTTTACAAGATTTCTATTAAAATGGAATACTATAATACATGTATTTTCACAGAATATATATTACTTTGAAGAGTGTTACTTTGAATATGTGTCCCCCTAAACCCGGGACCCAAAGTCATTGTTACTTTACAATCTTCTTACAGTTTTAATTGCAAATTTCAAACATTCTAACAGTACAAGGTTCTTACTAGTTAAACAAATATCACAGATAATGATTAGTATGACAGAACAAGTGTTTAGACGTAAATATACTCCCTAGTATGGACGGATCAAACAACACTTATTACCAGCCGACCACTTGGACATCCTGTATAAGCTCGCTTATCCAAATGATATGGGAAGGACCTCCCCCTGCCGGATAAGCCAGATATGTGGATAAGCAGAAATTTTACTGGGGAAAGTTCAAAATTTAACATATTCACAATTTTTTCTACCACAACCAACATAATTTGAATTGTCACACACAGATTATAATTATAAAATATTCAAGTACACAGTACTGTAATTAATTTTAAACAGAAACTTCAGCTTACTTTGTTGTAGTTTGTTTTCTTGACTGATGCAACACATCTTGAAGTTAAGAATTGTTGAAAGTTTACGTTACCTAACCTAACACAACAATAAAATTAACACTTAAAATTACTGTACAGTACATGAGCTGCTTGGCAAGGTCAGTTTTGACTGCCAGCTGCTGAAGCCTCACTGGTTCACAGAGACCTCTTGGATCCCTGGTGAGGCTTCACTGGTTGAAGGCTCTTGGATCCCTGGTGAGGCTTCACTGGTTGAAGGCTCTTGGATCCCTGGTGAGGCTTCACTGGTTGAAGGCTCTTGGATCCCTGGTGAGGCTTAACTGGTTGAAGGCTCTTGGATCCCTGGTGAGGCTTCACTGGTTGAAGGCTCTTGGATCCCTGGTGAAGCTTCACTGGTTGAAGGCTCTTGGATCCCTGGTGAGGCTTCACTGGTTGAAGGCTCTTGGATCCCTGGTGAGGCTTCACTGGTTGAAGGCTCTTGGCTTGCTTGTGAGGCCTCACTGGTTGAAGGCTCTTGGCTTGCCTGTGAGGCCTCACTGGTTGAAGGCTCTTGGCTTGCTAGTATTACTAAATAAGAATCAAATTTAGCTTGCCTCCTGTGTTCATTGTTTTTTTTCTGGGGGGAGCCCCTTCGGCTCCCTGGAGGTATCTGGGCTGATAGAGTATTAGCTTTGAGCATCAGTCAATGTACATGGAATTCTAGGCCTACCGGGGATCACGAGCCAGAACCTGGCCCCCTCAGAGAGGCACGAGAAGCAATGGCCTATAGAGACACCTTATATATAATTTAGCAGTACTCTGCCATCGACCGGGTCAGGCACCCAGAAAGATAGGTGCTCCAAAACACCTCCCCCCCCATTCTGGTTAAGAATTGCTATCAAAGCCAAACAAGAGGATAGAACTCCCCCATGAAGAAAAACGAGCAAACGAGCATGACGTTATCTCGTTACCAACACGCCACTGTCTGCGCAACTCCCCCCCTCCCCGGATTGGGGAAGGGGGAAGGGGGAGCCCCAGACCCTATGCTGGCTACCCAAGCCTGCCAGTTCTTGGCTGATGTCGTTGGGCTTCAGTCGTATACCTCCAGCTCCGGAATTCTTCTCTGATTCTTGCTAATATTTGGTGGTGTGCGAGCTGGGAGTATATTCACAAGTACTGGGGCTGCATGCACTTAGGGTCCACTTCCGTAAGCACCCTGTAAGTACTGCCCTTGGGGCTTGGGGCCTCCTTCCACAGGTCACCTTGGGGGCTGCCCCCGTTGTCATTTACTGCTCGGTACGTGTTCACCCTTGGAGTCAGCTGGGAGGTTTCTTGCTCCTCTGTTTGTCTCTGGGTAGGAGGTAGTATTTGTCACTGGTAGGGGTGCAGGGTATTACACAGCTAGTTGTCACCTCACATAGCGGCCAGCTCTGCATCCTCTAGGTACACTGTCCTCTTGTGTTTTTTTGTATCTTTTTGTTACTTTGCTTTGACGGGGGTCTGTTCTTGGGTTTGGGTCATACCCTATATCTATATATTTATACTTCGGTGGTACCCCCGCTAGGCCCCCGTGAGTGTACACGTCCCGGTGGTTCTTAGAAGTTTGTTTGGTAGTTCTGGGAGCCGGTTAGTAGTACCCTGCCTGGGCTTCCCTTAGTGGAGATTGAAAAGCTAAGGTCTCTGGGAAACCCCACGGGGGCTCTTGGATCTGATGGATGCTCTCCCTTTGTGTGAGTTTGAAGGTTGCTCTGTGCATTGAGGAGTTCTTACTTACATCATTTTAGAGGGAAATGTTCTCACGCTGTAACCATGCACAGCGTGTGTGTACAGAACTAGCACACTGCATTGGGGGGGATTTTAAATGTTTTCCCATTCCAAACCAACACAGTTTCACCTGTTTGTTTCCAGTTACCAGCACTATTACACATTCTTTTAAAGAAGGACTCCTTCCTTACACTACCAATCCTTTTCTACTCAGTACTGTATTTACCTGAAGGCTGCCAACACTCTAGTGGCCTTGATGGGGACAGGAAGCTAGCAGCTTGTCAAAGGTCCTCCGATTGTTCTTGAGGATTTTTTCCAGCTGGCTTTTGAACTGAAGTAATGTCCTGCTAGTTATAGCTTCCATGGGAAGGAATTTCCATGAGTTTGTAACCGTATGGGTGAAAAAGCATCTCCTGTTTTCTGTCCTACATTGTGGCTTGTTGAATTTGAAGCTGTTGTCCCTTGTATGCATTACATTAGATCTTTTAAAGAAGTGGTCTAGATCAGTATTCTCAAATTTATTCAGTACTGTATTTTAAAGGTCTCGATGAGATCAAGGTTTCCCACTGTCAGTATCATGAAACCTGTTAGACTTATTGAGGTTTCTTTAGGCTAACAGTGTCTCAAGCACCTATTTATTGCTAGGTGAACAGGTGTATCAGATGTAAAAAAAAAATATGCCCAATTTTCTCATATGGAGCGGGAATTTAATTGAGGACCATTTGGTTGCTAGTTATCTGTGCCGATTCCTGTGCTACAGGACACCTCTTTTCCCAGTATAGTCAATACTGTATATCTCTTTCTCTTAGTACAGTGTATTTCTATATTCAGCAGTGTATTGTATGTACTGCATCGCAGTACATAGCAGTCCCCGTGGTGCAGTGGTAAAACACTCGCCTGACGCTTCACAAGCGCTTTGGCCTGGGTTCATATCCTGGCAAGGGAGGATTGACTGGGTGTCAATTCTTAACTGTACCTCTGTTCACCTAGCAGTGAATGGGTACCGGGTTGTTAAACGATTTGGCGGGTCGTATTCCGTGGAAAATTAGGATTAAGGACCTTAGGATTGAATAAGGATTAGGATTGTGCTAGTGACTGTACAAGAATGTAAGAACTCTTGTATATTTAAATAAATAAATAAAAAGTATATCTCAATCTAAGTTTCATAAGGTTATTTATGTCTTTCCAACTGCACAGGACCCACAGAGAGCAATACCGATGAAGGGTGGAGGCTCGATGGGAGGAGCAGCACGGATGAACGGTCTCCATGGGTCGTTCGACTCTATATCCAAATCTAACTTCAACTCGTCCTTGGATGATGACCCAAGCTTTGTTGTTTACGAGGAAACGACTCAGTCGCCCCCTGGGTACACGTCGGAACTTGACAACAGGCAAGTAATCTCTAGTTGTTACAAGTACAAAGTAATGCGAGTGCGCACGACACTAAGGTATGTGAATGGCGTGTCTGGTAATATCAGCAATACTGCCATAATGATGATTAGATTAATACGTGCATGGTTGGGATGTAAATATAAACAGTATTTATGAGGTATTGCATATCATAAATATTACTTCTTGATAAGTATATATAGTATTATTAAATGGTATATATATATATATATTATACAGTAAATAATTCCAACATAACTTTCTGTGCCACTGTTGTATTTTACTGCACAAGGAAATGGCTTAACTTGAACATAAAGTTGAATTGAAAGGTGAGTTATTGAGATGTTATTACTCACAAATATTTGACTAATTTTTGCTCAGGGTCAACAATTTAGTAAACGTAAACATTTCCTTTGCATTTTAAGCATGGTCTTAAGGATATACATTATAACCAAAGCTATAACATGTCTGAGTTTGCCTTCACTCTCAGATGCATTCCAATGGAATCATTTCAATAAGAGGAAAGTGAATGCCACAACTATCAGAAGCTTCACAACGTCATGTGACAAAGATTATAGGGAAGTCAAGACACCACAAGTGTCTCAACTTACACATGTAACACTCTACAAGTGTAACTTGTGGAGCGTTACAAGTGTAACGCTCATCAGTAATAACACCCCAGGGCTCTAGAGTGACTGCTTGGCCTACAGAATTTACTCCTTTAACTGATAATTTGTTACACTATGCAACTTTCATCTCTTTAATTAGGCAAAAATAATAATGTTGGCAAGGAATAACGTATTCAGAGGGTGGCTGTTTTCAGGATTCAGACAAGAAAGCTATGTTTGGGAGAACTTGTGGAACACATGTATAAGCTATGAATATTTAGAACTAGTAATTACCAGAAGTGTTGAGTATGTAACATTACTGAAAAGTAAGCAAAATGTTGGATTGTAAACAGGATTATACCGGTAATCTAAGTGGGCCAAGTCTGAGTAAATTCATGAACGAACAGTAATCGGGTTAAATTTCAGTTTATATGATGATAGGAAAGTACTCTGGTGCATTCATATCTCAAATGTTTTGTGAAGTTACAGGTGGGACAAAGAATCATCATTTTATCATGTCTTCACCCTTGTATGGTTAAACCCATCAACGTTAGCGAGAGAGAGAAGTCTACATGGTGTTTTGCTTTCATGCAAGTATCGTGGTGGTGGGGTTCTGATGCCATACCAGGTACAGCCAGTGGTGGAGGGGTTGTCATGCCATGCCAGGTGCAGTGGTGGAGAGGTTGTCATGCCAGGCCAGGTGTGGTGGTGGAGGGGTTGTCATGCCAGGCCAGGTGTGGTGGTGGAGGGGTTGTCATGCCAGGCCAGGTGTGGTGGTGGAGGGGTTGTCATGCCATGCCAGGTGCAGTGGTGGAGGGGTTGTCATGTCATGCCAGGTGCAGTGGTGGAGAGGTTGTCATGCCAGGCCAAGTGTGGTGGTGGAGGGGTTGTCATGCCAGGCCAGGTGTGGTGGTGGAGGGGTTGTCATGCCATGCCAGGTGCAGTGGTGGAGGGGTTGTCATGCCAGGCCAGGTGTGGTGGTGGAGGGGTTGTCATGCCAGGCCAGGTGTGGTGGTGGAGGGGTTGTCATGCCCCTCCACCACCATCCCTCCACCACCTCCACCACCAGGTGTGGTGGTGGAGGGGTTGTCATGCCAGGCCAGGTGTGGTGGTGGAGGGGTTGTTTTACAAGGCCTGGTGCTGACAAAGAGTCAACCATGAATGCCGGAGATCTCATATGGTTGCCGAGACAAACACAAGCAGAACACCAAGCAGAGAACTGTCAGCAGCAAACCAGAGACAAAGGGTAAAAATCCCTTTGACCCAGGTAATCTTGGACTGCCAGGTAGTGATCAAGGGCATAATGGCTGGAGGCCTTACCCTCCACCAACAAAAATGTTTGCCTTGTTTTCCTGAGAGTTACTATGTTCCTTCAAGTAGCTGCTTGTTTTGATGCCCTTATACTTTCTGATGTTTTTTTCTCACTTTGGATAGTTTTTATCCCTAAGCTCCCCACACCTTGTAGAGCCAGATTCAGGTCCTGGCTCCTGGTAGTCAAGGCTCAACAGCCCGAGTTCTGTAGTGCAGGAAGCATATGAGGGCTCCCTCGTAGAAAAGTTATTCTCATCACTTCTACAGGACGTTTATTTTTTAATTCTGTAAACCTTAGTCCTGGGGATCAGACAATAGTATTCATATGTTTCACCAAAAGGAAAAAGGAGAAGCGAACATAAATATAGGCCAAAGATCATTTGCATAATAAAGAATTGTGCTGTAATGTAGTTCGCTGTCAAACTGATCTTGTACAGTACTTCCTTCTGGTGAGCTTTGGTGTGAATCTCATGGCAAATAACACATTAATTGTGAAGTGTCACTCACTGAGTAGATTAAATTTATTGATTCAAGGCTTGGAAGAAAATGAGTCCATTCCCTTTCTGGGAGGAGCCCCATCGGCTCCCCGAAGCTATCCAGGCTGATATTGCTTATGTTAAACTTTGGCATCAGTCATGTGTATGGAGTTCTATAGGCTTACCGGGGACCACGAGCCAGAACTTGGTCCTATCAGAGAGACACAAGGAGCAATGGCCTAGAGAAACCCCCATGTGGTTGGAAGCATTCTATGTCTGCCATCGACCGGGTCAGGCACCCAGAAAGGTAAGCATCCCAAAACAAACCCATATTCTGGTTAAGAAATTGCTACTGAGAGATGAACTAGTGGACAGAACTCCTCAAACAAAAACGAGATAACGAGCATGACGCCACCACGTCCCCGTATGCGCAGCTCCTCCAAGGGGAAGCCCCAGACCCCTCACACCGGTAACCCAAGACCCCAGTTCTGAGATTGTTGCGCTAGGCAGAGGTCGTGTGTTCTGGCTCCAGACTTAGTTTCAGCTCAGTGCCTTGTGTGCGGTGGCTGTCTTTTAGGTATTGTGTGAGCCAGGAGTAATTCTTCAGTACTCAGGCTGCATGCGCCCAGGGTTCCCTTTCCTAGGTGCCCGATAAGTACAGCATCAACTCGATTTAACACCCTATATGGGGCTGTACCCAGGTCGTTAGATGTGGGGCTCCGGTATTTCTGAAGATGTTAAGTGTTGGTAATATTTCAAGTAACATTCAGGTAAGATATATTTTGTCTTCTACCCTTGTGACATCACAGATTCAAGACACATTGTTTTGATTTGTCATGAGGCTGGAGTGTTCATTCTGTGACTTTGTTGGACATATCTGCGCAATGAAGGAGCATCCGTGCACCATGTTGGCTCCATATGCACTCATTGTGTCAGTGATGGCTGACTGGTGGGTGGATGGGCAGGCAGGCAGGGAGGGGCTGAAATGTAGGCAGGGAGAGGATGAAGATGGATGGAAGGATGGATAGATGGAGGGATGGATGGATGAATGGATGGAGGGATGGATGGAAGGATAGGGAGGGAAGGATGGATGGAAGGATAGGGAGGGATGGAGGGATGAATGGAGGGATGGATGGAAGGATGGATGGAAGGATGGATGGATGGATGGATGGATGGATGGATGGAAGGATGGATGGATGGATGGATGGATGGATGGATGGAAGGATGGATGGATGGATGGATGGATGGATGGATGGATGGATGGATGGATGGAAGGATGGATGGAAGGATGGATGGATGGATGGAAGGATGGATGGAAGGATGGAAGGATGGAAGGATGGATGGATGGAAGGATGGAAGGAAGGATGGAAGGATGGAAGGATGGATGGAAGGATGGAAGGAAGGATGGAAGGATGGAAGGAAGGATGGATGGAAGGATGGAAGGATGGATGGAAGGATGGATGGAAGGATGGATGGAAGGATGGAAGGAAGGATGGAAGGATGGAAGGAAGGATGGAAGGATGGAAGGATGGATGGAAGGATGGAAGGATGGATGGAAGGATGGAAGGATGGAAGGATGGAAGGAAGGATGGAAGGATGGATGGAAGGATGGATGGAAGGATGGAAGGATGGAAGGATGGATGGATGGATGGATGGATGGAAGGATGGAAGGATGGATGGAAGGAAGGATGGAAGGATGGATGGAAGGATGGAAGGATGGAAGGATGGATGGAAGGATGGAAGGATGGATGGAAGGATGGATGGAAGGATGGAAGGATGGAAGGATGGATGGAAGGATGGATGGATGGATGGATGGATGGATGGATGGAAGGATGGATGGAAGGATGGAAGGATGGATGGAAGGATGGAAGGATGGATGGAAGGATGGATGGAAGGATGGATGGAAGGATGGATGGATGGATGGAAGGATGGAAGGATGGATGGAAGGATGGATGGAAGGATGGAAGGATGGATGGAAGGATGGATGGAAGGATGGAAGGAAGGATGGAAGGATGGATGGAAGGATGGAAGGATGGATGGAAGGATGGATGGAAGGATGGAAGGAAGGATGGAAGGATGGATGGAAGGATGGAAGGATGGATGGAAGGATGGATGGAAGGATGGAAGGATGGAAGGATGGATGGAAGGATGGATGGAAGGATGGATGGATGGATGGAAGGATGGATGGAAGGATGGATGGATGGAAGGATGGATGGAGGATGGAAGGATGGAAGGATGGAAGGATGGAAGGATGGATGGATGGAAGGATGGATGGATGGATGGATGGATGGATGGATGGAAGGATGGAAGGAAGGAAGGATGGAGGATGGAAGGATGGATGGAAGGATGGATGGAAGGATGGAAGGAGGATGGAAGGATGGATGGAAGGATGGAAGGAAGGATGGAAGGATGGATGGAAGGATGGATGGAAGGATGGAAGGAAGGATGGAAGGATGGATGGAAGGATGGATGGATGGAAGGATGGAAGGAAGGATGGAAGGATGGATGGAAGGATGGATGGAAGGATGGAAGGATGGAAGGATGGATGGATGGATGGAGGATGGATGGAAGGACGGATGGATGGATGGATGGAAGGATGGATGGATG